TGTTGTGATATGCGATATTCCGAATATGGCTAGGGCGTAGTTATTCTTGAAGTGGATCGGGGCTAGTTAAACTAGAATTAACTGCCAAACCGAAATTCGCACACAAAACTCCACAGCATCGTCAGCCAGCAAATACTTGCTAACATGAGGAGCCCATACTTAGCATAAAACCTCAAACTCCACAGCCTCTAATATGACCAACAAACCACTGCATTAAGCCCACAAATCGAAAAGAAGAAAAACAAACCACGAAACTAAGTCAAGACCAAAAGCGGCTGTAGCGTCAGATGACTAAGCTAACTGAGATATGGATCATGACCAGCGCAAAGACATATTGCTCGGGCAGTGCCAGCAGAGTATGTGGCAAGATCGAGGGCCCTTATTTGAGGTACCTCACTCTGCAATGGTATAGATAGCTGAGGAGGCACCGTACTTATCTTTGTCGCGTGGGTGTAACTGCCTGGGGGTACAAGTTAAGTTTCCTCATGCCGAGTGATGAGTCGTGCATGCAAGACTCAAGTAAGGGGGGCATCTTGATTATATTCCGCTGCGTGGCAAAAACAGCAACCCACTTCTTAGGCAAAGCTTCGATGGGGAAGTAAGCGTGGATTCCCGATCCAGCCTACCCTCTGGTGCCTCGACAATCGACGATATAGTTTGATCCTGCTGCGCTGCATGACAACAAAAGGAGGATTCCTGCCGGAGTTTTTATTTTTGTTTAAATTCCTTTTTGTAGAAGCAGGTACCGTTTTCTGGTTCTGGGTCACAGAGACATCGGTGGTGGAGAAGGAGGGACTCCGAGGGAGGTCGTCGACTCGGAGGGTCAACCACCCTCTACTCATCTAGACTAGTGTAACGAAGACAGGGAGACCTCGTGGCCTGGTGTGGTTTATGAATATAGGAGGACCCTTAAAAAGTATGCCAAGATGTCAGTGCGGAACAGGGCTGAGAGCCTATCGTGGCTCACGTCTGAAACATGGAAGTCTCAGAAAAGCTTGGGCACCGAGACTTCGACCAGCGCCACAGTTCTGTCTGACTCGCTGGAAGGCTGTATGTTTCATTGCGGAATGGCGTGATGGCAGGATCGGTTCTCGGCTGATCAGGAACTTACCGGCGAAAAGACTGTGGTTAGTGAAATGGTTTCCCCCTGTTTGGGTGGGTAGGTACCTACTGATGTCTTGCATGCAGAACGGCCGGCTGGGCTGGAAGGTTGATAGAGAGAGAGGGAATCCGGAGGAGGTACGAAGCTTGTAAGACATCATGTCAGGGCGGAGTGGGTACATACTTGTGAGAATCTCTCTAGAGGTACATACCTGACCCTTGATACCCAATGGCTCTAAAACTCAGCCCTTGCCATTGAGCACTAGTACTGCACTCATTATCCGCTCGTTGCGACGGGCGTGACTTTGGTCTTGTTACCAGTGCACCTACTAGAGTGCTGCATGCCCGATTTCCAGATCCCTACTGGTAGTGTATGTACCCATGGCCAGGTAATTATAAAGTACATGTATCTCCACTAGAGTACTGTATCTGCAATAGCCACGGTATGTACACAATACGATAGCAATAAATATGTGTATGTATACGCAGGGATGCTTAATCTTGTACTCTACGGCGACCTCGATACCTATCTACTTACCGCCAATAGATTGACACATTGTCCGGCCTGAGACCATCTTCGGGAAGCCACCTCATTGGGTACTGCGGGAGATACACGACAAATTAACCAAAATATATTATAATAACATATTGCGCAAGCCATGGAGAAAGGGAAAGAAAGAAAGAATGAAAGAAAGAAAGAAAGAAAGAAAAAAACTTTCTATAATTTTGATTTACGTACTTAAGTTTGACACTGACATGACAGGCCTATCAACCTCCCACCTCCCTCCCCCCGGCCCGTAGCGGGCACCGTATCCGTGTTTGGAGGGAGATCAGAAACGGAGTAACTTACAGTCCCGACACAGCGGCATCACAGAGTCCCGAGTAGGTACTACCGCCAAGACCAAAGTTGCCTCTGATATCCTCTGCCGGAAATTCGTCACCCTCCCAGTGGGTCTATTTTTCCTGTCTGCCTGTTTGTTCGAGAAAGACAGCCAGGGGCCGGGGTTTGGGGTTTGGGGTTTGGGGGTGCAGGGAGAAGGTGGGAGAGCATTAAGAAGGCAATTATTACATGTATTATTATTAGGTGGGGGTACGTACATACATTGAGTAGGTACATGTACATACCTATCTTCATCAACCGTATAATGTACATGTAGAGTACTCTAGAGTAACTGGTAGGTTATGATAAAGAGGATCGATCTACCGCCATCTGCAGGTACTTCGCCCATCACCAGGCTACGTGCTCTGATTAGTAGAGAAGAACCGCTGACGAAGGGGACCACGTGACCCGCCAGAAACACCGTCCATTCAATCGCGGTAAACTCTCGACAGAAAAATGCGCGCAGACGCAGCGGCACGCCGAGACATAACATACAGACCAGTAGAAGCCAGAGATTCAAAAACTAGTTTCGAGGGGGGCGCGTGAGTGGCAATGGAATCAATGGTGAGATAGAAACTAGTATGTAACATTAGCAGGGAGTGTACGTACATAGATGTACATACCTTTCATGGTCAGGGCGCGGCAACATCCATATAAGGGTTTCTTGTGCCTAGGCCTAGAGGTAGTACTGGTCTAACTCTCCTTTATTTTTCGCGGGGGAGGCGTTTATTAGGAGAAGTACCTACCTTTGTCATGACCGGGTAGACCTGCCTTTTGTTTGCTCTCGTTTTCCTAGCTAGCTAGCTCGTAGCTTTAACAATGACATCTCGCACAGCTTGTAGCTAGCCCTGATTATTATTGATGTTCGTTTGTTTCTTATCTATTTACAAAATCTACATATTACAGCCAATAAATACATGCCTTTCAAGTCAGCCATACCGTAATAAGTCACTATCTTTAAACCACCGCCATTAAAACAACAAGAAAAGAAGGAGCCTCCCTCCCCTAACGAATAAAAGTCCTGCGCACGTCCCATGATCAACCAAACCTCCCGTCAGACCCATTCGACCCCGTATACCCGCTTTGAACGCCTTTTTGCCAACCCTGACAAAGGAAAAGAAAGAAAAAGAAAAAGAAAAAGAGAGAAATCTTTATACAGGAAAAGGTTGAGAAAGGAAGGTATAAAGAATGAAAAGAAAAGAAAAGAAAATAACATAAAATAAAATAAGAAGCAAAAAAAGAATGGGTAAGTTAAAAGGTAGCTACAGAGAAATATAACAGTAGAAAGAGTAATAAATAAAAGGAAAATGATGTCGTACGTGTGTGTGGGTCAGTGGGGAACAGTAATCGTCAGATAATCTCGCACGTGCCACTCGCATACCTCCACTCCGTCCCGAGACACTCAATAAGTAGTAATCCGTTAGTGAAAAAAAAATGAGAAAAAATAGTAAAGAAGGAACGAATAAGGAACTCCGAAAGTCTCAAGCCGGATTCAATGAATCCAAACTACTCGCCTTCGAACGTCTCCTGCTAGCGGCCAGCTTTCTTTGCATTGCCTCAAACGGCAGCACAATCTTCTTCCATATATTTCCCATGAACTCCTTACAAGCTGGGAGGGTGGTGACGATGTAGATCAGCCCATTCCAAAAGCCCTGGCACGGAAGCACGAGCGCGGCGGCGAAGTTGAGGCCAAAGTTTGTCGAGTCAGGGTGGATGAGACTATATATCCTGTTTATACTTGACGGCAGCTGTACAATATTATCAATCAGCAAAAGCGCTTTCTAACGTGGAGGTTAAGTAATCATAAAGCACACATACCCAAGTGATAATCAATGCCAAAAAGAATAGCATCGCACACCGACAATACGCCCACGCCGCTGTATTCGCCTCCACGCCGCTATTCCTCGTCCTCGTAACTGTGAGTGGCGGCTCCTTCCCCCCGCTACCAGACGATATTGTGCACGAGTAGCTTGTGAGCGGATTGACCACCGCCGGGGCCCCGCTGTCATGTACCGGTCCCGGAGATATCGACCCAGGCCGCACTGACGATGACCGTGTACCCAGGGTGTCTCTAGTAGGTCCCGTGTGACTGGAGCTTGAGTGCTCGGCACCGGCGAATCTGCGGAGCGAGTCGCGGAGGTTGAAGATTACGCGGCCGGCGAGGATATAGATGATTAGGGTGAAGAGGAGTACAATCCTGGGGTTTCCAATGTTAATATCACGCAACGTACATTGAAACGAGTGAGATGGAAGGAGGAGGTGCGTACCACACTGGCCCGTAGAAGCCGGCGATGCGAAGGAATTGCCATTCGTTAGAAATCCAGCACCAGAGTGTTGCGGACCCATATATAGGTGTTCCTTCATGGTCTTTGGGGAATAAGAATACTATCGCGGGGATAAACGGAATACCATAGCAGGCAAGGACATAAGTGAGTTCGAGATTCTTGAGACGTTTGGTTGTGTACTTTTTGAAGACGGTGAGGTAGACATTGAGAGCCATTGCCAGACACTATTGACAATTGGCCAAGTTAGCAACAAGGTATAAACGCCGAGTAAACCCAATCAACACTGCCAAATCCAGATGGGGGGTAAACATACAAATAACGCATCTGCGGGCATAAACCTATCCCATATCATAGCACATCAGCCAACCAATTCCCCAAACCTCTCAACCAATCGCAAAAGTAAAAACCAACCATTGAATGAATGCCGCCTGAGCTTTACACAATCCTGAGCTATTCCCATGCGTAATTCCCTCTCTTGATGTTATCGTTGCCACGTTCGTCAGGATGTTCCCAAACGCCGCAAAAAACGCTAGCCGGTTTATGGGCCTGTGGAACGACCTTGATGAGCAGAAAGTGATGATGATGAAGCTGGCTCCCAGCAGTGAGAATACGGAAGAGACTCGTGATGTTGTCTGCAAGATCTCGAGCTCGCGGGTTGTCCATGCCATTGTGGTGAAAATAGTACTGCTAGTACTCCTGATACTCTTTGTTCGTGCTGTGATGTCGGCGGTGGTCTATGGTGAAAGTTGTATTGTTTTGTTTCTGGGGAAGGGAAAAAGGTGGGAAGGAGATGGGGGGTGCTGTTTGTATATATTAGTAGGGGTGGTATTTTTAGGAGTGGGTGGACAAAGAGGGAGGTCATTGGGGAGGAGGATTGAGGGTATAGTAAAACAGATAATGGGTTCACTACATAGTTGATGGCATGCTCGGTGGTTTTGTGAAACGGAGAAAGAATATTGTCATAGTAGAAAAACAATTATAAGGAAATAGGGTAAACTTGAATAAGAAACCACAACCAATATCCACATACCGATTTGATCGAGCAACGGATTATCTTTATAAATATTATTCTTTCTCCCTCACTAAAGATTATCCCCACCCGAGAGAATAAGATATTTATAAGAACCCTTGGAATACCAAGCATCTAGCATGGGGCGAGGAACGTTTTATATCCTTCTTTTCTAATAACTGATACGATGTGGGGTAAATTCCTCCGATCCGTTATAAGTGAAGGGCTGGTCTGGTTGTCAGGCAAGAGGCTGTTAGTTGCAATGTAGTCCACTAGCCCAAGCAATTATCTAACTTAGGGTGTGTATGGGTTGGCATGTAGGTGGGATGACTGACGAGTGTGGGGATGGCATCTGATTTAAACAAAGAAGCAGCCATAACCTGGTACAGCGCTAGAGAACTAGGGGCTAAGAAGCCTGTATGGTAAAGGGTCACCCACAAGCTTGCAAGGGCGTGGTCAGCACGGAGGGAGGGAGGGAGGGAGAGAGGGAGGGAGAGCTTTGGTACCTGCTGTCCGACATCCGTAACCTCGTACAACATGAGCAGAGAGCGAGAGGGAAAGAAGGAAAAAAAGAGGCTTAAATGTGCATGCCCGGCTAGGATATTCCTAGATGCTCGAGAAGCACTTGACTTGTGGGGGAAGACCGCATCGCATGCATTACCTTTCCACCCTACCGTCCCCCCTCAAATTCCCCTCGCTTAGGTGCTGGGGATCTGTGTTAGTACATGTAGGTACATACATGTGTAGTCCTTTTCTTGATATATTGCTTAAGCCCTAGTGCGCTAAACATGAGGGTCTGGATGGAGCTTGTCTGGATATAGATATGTAGGTACATGTATGTATCTCCTCTTCGCTGGGACATCAGCACCTCAAGCACTGGGAGGATCATTCCCAGCGTGTCAGAAGTTTGCATGACATGAACTACATTCGAATTCCTACATGAATCCATAACATCTAGTTGGTTTCACCCCGTCACACGATGTCTTGCGGTACTAGAGTTGTGCGTTTTCAAATGTATGTAGCTATTTGCAACTTTTCTACCAGTTACCAGTGGTTGCTACCACAGCTCCCAAGCTCAGGGGGTTAATAATCTATTTCCGCTCTTGACAAATTTCTCCCCAGGTTAACGTTGCAAATAGTCTCTAGATATAAAAATCACTTAGCCACAATTCCTTGCATAACGTCGTCGTATCGCCTAAGATAAGCACCGCAAAAGTGCAAGACCGACGTAAAAGAAAAAGAAAGACGTAAACGAAAAAGAAAAGAAAAAACAAGGAAAGCAAAAATAGAGTCACACAGCAGATCAGATCAAACCGTACAGAAACCAGCACCTCAAGATATCCCATGATGTATGTATCGCAACATGGCAAAAACTCATCATCCCGGCGACTGCTGTTGCTCCCACTGTGCAGCAGCAGTAATAATAGGAAGAAAGAGAGAAAAAGAAAGCAATTGCCAGAGCTCTACCAGTCAAGGATAGAGTAGAAGGTCTAGCCAGAACACATGTACTCGCTATCATCCATAAGAACCTGAAAATGCAAGTGACAGTTACAAGGATTATTTGTATGTAGTGGCGCCGTTCTCCCATAGAAATTATCCCTGTCTTATTCACCTGCATTTTCAGGTTCTGATGGATGATAGCGAGTACCTACATACTCTAGGATGCGATGCGCCTCATCGCGTCGCCATTGGAAGTTCCACCAGTACCACCGCCCCGCCCTAACCCACGCAAGCAAGGCAAGGGTCTCGGATCCAAAAGAAAGAAATAAAGTGCACCCAGGTTCGTTTTTTGTTTTTTTTTATCTTTGCGGCATCGCGGCATTAAACGGTTCTTTGCCCTCACTCACTTGCTCTTTAGCGGACTAGTATCAGTTCGCTTGCACTTCTTGTACCTTATTGGCTAGTGTAAATCTCGTGAAGCTCCAGCAAATCGAATTGGTTTGAACTAAAGAGACTCAACTACCAGCTATTCTACTTTCCATGCCATGCCATTTTCATACCCAGCGCCCGTTTCAACTGCGGGGAAATGGTCCAAAACCCGGGAAAAGAGTGAACTTCCCCCTGTCCTGCCCACAGTCAACTAATAAATCCCCTAGAGCACTTGTATCTACAGTTCCATCTAACCAACTCCTGCACAAGTGCGCGCCCCCGCTCTTCCCCCCGCAGAGAAGCATCGGTCTTCAACCCGGATGCTCACCGTGGTCGCGTGCTGATCTTCTTCTTCTGCAATAGCTAATATCGTTAATCTCACCTCCTAGACTACCACCGCTTGTAAACCGGTACGGTACTCTACAAGTTGCTCGCCCTATGTAGAGAAGTTCTCTACGTCAAACTGCCGTAGGGGAGGAATGTTTTCTACCTGCCTAGTGTAGAGCTTATTGCGATCAAAAATCAAGCCCTATCAAGGTATTACCACCCTCGCCGCTCCACGGGAATGTGGGGGCGCTCGCTGTGTGTGCCGGCCTTCCTCCCCCAGGGCATGCATCCACATCCTCCATTCTCCTATCGATAAGGACTGCCGCGAAACATGGATCTTGACTTCACTCATCGAGCGCTTCTCGCTGGTGTAATTCTATGTTTGTGTTCGCTTTTGCACTTTACTAGATGTGTGTGGGTGTGTGGTCTGTAGAGTGCGATTATTAGAGTGAGTAAATAAGCAATTTTGTTCTGGGCTACATGCATGCTTTTCATATCCGCGCGCTGCCATACGGCTATCCAAAGTGCTCTTTTCATCAGGCGCCTACCTCTCAGTCCCGGTGAAGAGCTGCAAATGTGCGTAGCTAGAGAAGGAGGGATGGGAAGCTTGTCTCTCGGATCCCCCAATCACTCGTCCTCTTTCGGAAGTGTATATATTGGCTTGGTTTCCGCGCCGTGGGGTTACATATGGGTGGGTGTGTTAATTAATTAATCAATCGAGATGAAATGAAAGAACGAAACGTGTAGAGAATTGATTGTATTCTTCCTTCCCTCTATGGCTAGATTCGGCGGTGTGTAGTGGGTATCGGTGGGTGGTGGTGATGGCGGTGGTGGATGAGATCGAATGGTGGGTGGGCAGATAGAGTGTGTAGGTACCTACTAGCAAGAGGTACGTACCCATCAGAATCAGGGTCCTGTCAATGTCACTCATGTCAACTTAAGGCAAAACCTACCCTCAGCACCTGCAATCATAAATTTCATTACGTCAATCTCTCGGCCAACCCCCAAAACTCGCAGAGAGAACTGTTCCCCTACCAAAAATCAAAAATCAAAATCCCACCACAACGGTATATGCGCCGGTGCAACGGAGTTTCCCATCAAAAAGAAACCAACTTCCCAATATCCTTCTATACATCTCTATCGCGATATTGCTCTACATACGTATGCAAGTTCTATATTGCCCCCAAAACCCATACAGGTGCTTGCACAACCCAGCAAACAACCCCTAACCTAACCTCCTTCTACTCCTTCACCATGGCCATGGAAACGACCTGCCACAGAAACTCCGCTTCCGTCCCCAATCCCACGTTTCTCGGAATCCCAATGCATACACATATGGCATTGGTCAGTATGCAATATATATCATCAATATATATATACAATGTGCCGAGTATGTCGATCCTTCGGAATAGATACTGGTTTATTTGTCGGTAACAATATATGTGTTGCTACAGTGCTATTTTAGAGCTATCAGCTGATGGATCTGGTTAGAAAGCTGCCTCACCAGATCTCTTGGTCCCAGCTAGATATAGGGGGACATTAGTACGACCGCTACCCGGGAAAGACCTACTCCCTCTGCTCGACCCAATCCGGACGAGCTACATTCAGCTTGCGGCCCCGACAATCGCCACTGCTGTCAATTCATCTCCTCGATCTCGAGCCAATTGAAAAGGCCCTCGCTTGTAGTTCCATTCACAATTGAGCGCTGAGCTGAAGCGTCAGCATCTCAGTTGTGTCGGGGAGTCCGGGAAGAAGGGGGTGAAAAAAACTTAGTTTTCTGGCTGCTGGCTGGTCAAGTTGGAGATAATGCAGATCAAAGACAGCCCAGGTAACGTTAAACAGAGACTGTTCATCCATATCACAGGCCCACATGACATGCAAAAGCCACCCATGAGCCAGCTTGTGGGACGGATAGATCTCCATCACAACCACCAGCTCCCTTTTCCCACTCGCGCGCGCTCGATAAACGTCCCTTCTTTCGTTCCCGTGGAATGACATCGCAATACTACATACATCCGCCAGCTACCGGAAAAGAAAAGAAAAAGGAGACGAGCTGCAGTGCGGAGTGCGGACTGCTTATATTAAGGTTGTAGCACCGAGTCTATAAAACTTTAAGGTTTGTTCCACGACCCTCTCTATATTTCACACTCCCCTCCCCTCCCCTCCCCTCCCCTCCCCTCCCCTGAAGTGACGGCGCAGTGGTAATGGTAACGGCTCTATATACTACCGGTAGTAAGGGTACACGACAAGGGGGGACACTATGAGCTGCCGATGGGTTTATCTTGAGATTTCTTGTTGGGGTTTTTTATCATGATCGACGGCTTTAACCTTCGTCCGCTAGCTGCCAACTCGGCGGGCAGATGATCCGTACGTATAACAGAAAACGGTGCCGTCTCATCTCAGCGCCGGAAGCTTCCCGAGCGACGGGACAACTATATTATAGTGAAGCCGTCTATATATATATATCACGACTATCAGCTGGAGTCTAAAAGTGCTTTGGTTGATTGGTCGATGTTTGATTTTGTCGAGCCGGCCTGAGGTGATGTGATCTAATAGTTATAACTGGCGATGTTTCTTTATGGCCGGAGATTGGCACTTAGCCTTGGGATCTGCAATGGAGCGATTTCATTACAAGATGGGGTTTTGATACTATATTCTCAGGGTCAATTGGCTGCCATTATCAAGATTAGGTCGGCATAGTTGGCAGCACTTCGATCATGTGGTGAGTTTGAGATCGAGGAAAACCCGTGGTGGCCATGGTGGGATCGATATGTATGCAGTGGGGTGAAAAGGAGGACGTGATTGGAGGGCTGAGCGAGAGATAGCTTAGTCGGGGTTACAATTCAGTTATGTAGATGCAGTCGACAGTCTATGTACATACATTTATGTGTGTAGTTGTGGTTACAGGGCATGTAGTGAGTGTGTGGATGGGTTATAGGTTTCTCCCGCCGCTGCGGTGGGAGGTTATATCCAGTGTAGCAAACAAAAGATTGACGAAGCGACATGAAAGGGTATTTGGAAGACGTCCTGCTCGGCTCTCGCATGTGAGTTGCACAATCTCGCTTCACTTACGTAGCAACTCCCCAACAGGGTGTCACCTAGCTAGAGCAGGAGCACAAATGAAAGAACCTCAACGCTGCTCTCGAGCTCATGCATGGCTGATCACTCGTTCTCTTGCTCGAGTCCGTCCACGACAACGTCTGCCAGAGAGGACGAGTTCTCTATCTCACCGCCGGTAATACATTCCGGAGAAGCCTTTTAAACGTTATGTGTAAGGTGCTCACGCCTCCTCATCCTGCATATGCACGTGCGCATGGCCATGGGTAGGGCAGGGCAGAGAAAGAAATGAGTACAAAGGTATGGTAATTGTGAAAAATTCAGGGTTGGCGTCATTCACGGATTTCGGCGGTGTAGCAGAAATCGGGTTTTTGCTTCTTCTTCCTCGCGGTGTGAATGTCTCGAGCTCGGTTCTTTTGAGGAGGAGTTCTCAGTTGATAACGGGGGATGGTGTAATTGTAATTGCAGATGGGGTGGACCTCCGATCCGGCGATGTGTGTATCTCGGATCTCAACGATGTTCCTGTACTTACTGTGTCCTTGATGATGTTTCTAAAGTCTCTTTGGCCTCTCGAGTTGTATACGCAGCGTACGTATACCTGAGTTCTTGCCTCCTATGAATAATCTCTAAAAGTGCCAATTGGCCAAGACTTTTGACTAAAGCAGATCAACGCTTTACTCCAGACAGTCATAAAACCCAGGGAGAACCCATGGCCCAGGTTTACTCACTTACCACACGTAAGTGCGAAAAGCCTAAACAGCATGCCTAATCAAAACATTTACCCAATCGACTCAATTGATCAAGCCCCTCCCTCCCCCATATTCCACCCCCAATTACAATTTCCACATACACGACTGGCCCCCAAAAACCCCTCTAACTAGCCCACCGCAGTGTTCTCCTCCTCGATCTTTCCTCTCGACACTTCTGTCCCCAACACCAGCTAGCTCTACGCCACCACCGGATAATTATACCGGCAATCTCCGTCCGTTCCCCAGACACAGGGTTAGGGTTTGTTCTGTTGATAGTAACAACTAACAACCGCATCTCGGTGCCGAGACGTGTCAACTCTATTCCCACCTACCCATCGTGGAAAATCTCTGGTTCTTTTCCCCAAACGTTCTAGAGCGTGTCTAGCCAGGGCAGGCAGGCACCTCGCTTAGAGTAGATCGTGAGTGATGTCTAGAGTAGTTAGGGCCTAGGTGGAACGGTATGTAAGGGGCAATCGCGACCGCATAACTCCCCCTCCCACCTAACCCCACCCACCACCAACCCCGCCCGCCGGTCGGAGATGGGGATTGATACGGTAGAGCTTGTGTTTGTGTAGATCGTCGCCGAATGGCTATGTGTGTGTTGTATGTCTAAGTGGCTCACTGCTCCACGCCGGCCGAACACATGCTCAAAAGTCTCCTGTGTGGGGTTCGGCTCTTAGCTAGCTAGCTAGTACACGGCCGTTCGGAAGCCGGTACCGGGTTCTCTCATTGCTTATTTCTGCTGCCTGCTACTACTGCTGTAGGGTATTCCTGCTGGCACTTGCTGTACTCCGCGCAATTGCGGACGTCATGGACGGGTGGAATGTGGTAGGTGGGAAGCTTCAAAGGCCTAGGTGGACGCTGGCGCTGCCGGAGATGAACTCGTAGGGCTGCTTCTGTGGCGTGGGAGTGCAGATCCTCGCCGACCGTCGTGACATGGACATTCGACTTCCGCATGGCCGGAAGAGAGAGAGAGAATTAAAGGCCCTGCATCTATGTACCTTTTTTTTTGTTGCCAGCAAGAATAGCCAGGTCGGCGTTCCCCTACTACAGATGTTAAACGAAGCGCAGGGGTGGGGGGTGCATGTGGGGCGGAGATATATGTACGTAGTAGGTAGGTGGCTTGCTTGGTGATCGCCGCTGGCTGGATTCAAGCCTTGGGACTGTGCCTACTGCATGCTAGCTGGATCTATGTAGCGGGGGAGGTACATAGTGCCTGGCCACTATGTCTCCGGCCGGAGGGAGGGCTCCTGGGCGGGGGGGAGAGAGGATGAGCTAATAATGTAAGAGGAATGCTTGTTTTTGGATTATGGTGCTTGTCACGAAAAATGATAATGGTGATGCCGAGTTCCGGGTGGGGGGGCAGGTGGGGGTGTTGATCAGTTCTAGCTAGCTAGTGGCTACAGATATGGCCTGATGTAGTTGATTAGTTTGACCCGGTGGTTGGGGGAATAGGAATCTCATGAGGAGGTAGCTAACACGTAGCAAGAATTAGACATAACAGCCGACTAAAAGGGGCACGGCAATAGTTCTGGAAACCACTGCATTCACTCCTATGAGCTCTTTTACTTCCCGATTATTTCTCCCCCGCGGCCGGTACGATAGTCGATTGAAACTGACGATTCAGTTCAAGCCATGGTTTCGGTGTTGTTACCTCTTGGGCAACCAGGTTTAATCGGTGAGGCGTTTACTGGAAATTAGATGTTCACTCGGATAGATATAGAAAGCTTTTAGTGAAGACAGCAAACTCTGATACCGCCGTGTGAAGACCTCTCCTCTATATATAGCTCTGCGGAGGACGCCTCGTTGATTCAGCGAATTCCGGTTTGGATGATGTTTCAAACGCGCCGAAAGACCTGTTGCAAGCTACTTATATCTAGATCTTGTTGAAACACGCCGGGATTGATATGTTTCGTTTCAAATCATGGCCGGCGGTACGGGAATATTAAGTCAGAAATGTTCGTCTCTTGAATATCTACAGCACAGGAATCGGTTAGGAATGCCACTATGTATCTTTACACTCGCATACATCCCCATGGGCTTGTAAGACCTTGCCCCAGTGTTTGGTTTGGTCACTCCAGGAGAGCGAGTGATAGTTGGTGTCCGCCAACACGCCAACGCAAACTCAGCGATTGTTAAAGCGAACGATGCCACGCTGAAGCGAGCTGTCATCAGGAGGAAACCTTACTATGAGACTATCGTACGAAGGACTTTGCTTGACTCTAGCTGGCTACGTATTCTCGAGTTACAAACACTTACGACTCAAGTCATTTGGTGTCTACGGCAGTAACTTGTATAACACAGGTATCTACGGACGGCTACGTTATAGGTATCCACGCGAGAAAAACAATTCATCGATATTAAAGAACGTACCGAATTAATTAAATCTATATAAAAACTATATACAAAACGAATAACCTACATAAACAAACTAAGATACAAAAAAAAAACCTAAAAAACCGCACCCACGAAAGAAACCCTAACCCACCAAAGAATGCTGCAACCGTAGCTTCGCGGTTCCCGCTAAAAAAAAATTTTAAGCGGGGAAACCGTTGAAGAGCCATGTTCCGGTTCAAAGGAGAACGGGAACAGTGGGCCACTGAGTGAACTCTGCAGGTCCCCTTTCCAAGACACATCAAGCTAGAGAGGCACCCCTGCTAGCCAGGTTCTCCAACAGTCCGAAGACTGCCTGAGAAACCCGGCCAGCAAAAGATGCCCCGCCTGCCATCCGTGCAAGTCAAGGGGATTTGCAGAATCCCTGGAGAACATCAATGGGCGGGGGATTGCGCTGCTTATAAAGATTTGGCCAATTTCCGCCAAGACAGTTTTGGCCGACGTTTTGGCCGACGTTAGGGCCTTAGGGATACAGAGAAAGGGTGGGAAAGAGTGCCAAATTTACTGATTTGATAAGAGAATCTATGGTGCGTTATCGAGTTAGATCACTGCGAGCAGATCTTAGCAGTCCTAAACTGGAAGTATGCGTATGTGTCCTGATCTGTGGTGGTTCGTGTGGAAGCCTTTGGGGGGGGGGGGGTGACCGTGACATCATGGAACATCACTCGACTAGATGCAACATTTTTCGAACTGCGTGGGATGATCTCTTGTAGTATCGTTATATTACAACTAAATTCTAAATCTAATTTTAATTACAAGTGTAGTTGGATTTGTAGTAGACATCCGCGGCCCTAGTCTCGTTCCCAGATCCATTCGGTAATCTTTGGTGGTGGTGGTGGTTGAGATGTATTTTATACCAACTGGTGTGGACGAAAGTAGGGCATGGCAACGAGAAAGAGTGGCCGAGACCTGGATCATGGCTACTCACTCGATTTCCCGGGTCAGATGGGAGGGCTGCAACGCCCGGACACACACACACACTAGACACTAGGCTCGTCCCCAACCCGTCTGCTTCCATGCTTCCAGCGGACGTACTGGTTGGCAGCTTGCTGCAAGTAACGGGCTGGGTACGAGACTACATGTACACAGACTACATGTAGTTTCTTGATTCACTCACCCACACATGTCATGGGGAACATCGCAACATCGATAAAAAATCTGCAACAATTGTAAATACACTAAAATACATGCACATGCACATACACAACCACACCCTCACTTCACTTCACTTCCCCCACTCCCCGCATCTTGCTCATCTTTTCTCAACACCCCCCCCTGCGCACTCAACTCAAATTCACCACCGGCAGCTCCGTCATCCTCAACTTTGTACTACCATACGGCCTGAAGCTCACCACCTTCGCGTCACCCGTACACACCGGTGCGACCGGCGGCTCCGCAAGCACATCGCTCGTCACACCCCACTCAATCGGGCATGCCTTGACCTTCAACTCGACTGGCGGCGCGCCCTTCGCAAAGATGGGGTTCTTCAGCGGCGTGGTACTATCCGACATATCGTTGACCTCGATCGAGGCCGTATCAATGGCAATGGCCCAGTCCTTGCCCACGGGCTTCAAGAAGTGGTCCTGCGTCTCCGGGAGGTGCACCTGGTAGACGGGAAGCGGCACTGTAGGAGCGTTGTACGTGAGTGGGGAGAAGGATTCGGTGGTGTATTCGAGGTCGAGGGCGTAGAGGAGGGGGCCGCGGTGGAGGGCGACGGCGCTGTTGGCGCGCTCGACGACGCTGACGGTCTGGCCGAAGGTGATACTGAAGGTTGTGGTGCCGGCTTTGGCGGAGACGAGCTGGTGGTTGTCGGTGGTGGGGGTGAGGGCGACGGGACTGGAGCTGCCGAGGGCAATGGTGGAGGTGGAGAGGTCGGCCCAGGCTGGGATGCGGATGTGGAAGGTGAAGGCGGAGTGGGCGGTGATGGTATACTTGATGGTGGGGTTGAAGGGATAGTTTGTGTCCGCGGTGACTGAAACATTTAGTAAGTTGTATACAGATCGAGCTGCATACAGAGGGAGGGGGATTTACCAGTGACTTGGTTACTGTCTCCTAGAGTTGTGATGACCTTTGTCGGCGAGAGGAGTGCGTGCAGAAGGTCGCTGGTCCCCACTTTCATAAAGCTCGCCGCGAGGAACTTCGGATACCCCTGCGGATGGTTCACCGTACAGCACGGCTACACGACAATCAGTACAACCACCCACCTACACAGACCTCTATGAAGGACAACCAGAAACTCACATAATTCGGCTCCAACCCAAACGTATTGCCATAGTTATTGACATTGACATACGGATTCCCACTGATGTTAAACGCCCACGGCTGGTTCGCCTGCGCAACGTACTGATGGCTCCACCAGTCCGGCGATATGGCAGCAGGGAGCGCATTAAACGCCACCAACTCCGCGCGGTCCGCAAAGCGGTTGGTGCCGTAGAAGCGGTACAGGTACGACATGGAGTACATGGTTTCGACAGCCATGCACAGCTCTGAGCCACGGTTGGGGCTCATTCCGGCGAGGAGCTCGTCCGCGGTGATGGTGCCAGAGTCGGCACCGTGGTACTTGAAGAGCATGTCAACGCTGTCGTGGGCTTGAGTGGTGAGTGACTCGTTCTTGTCCAGGCGGTAGAGCGCAGTTGTCCAGCGGAGGCCTTAGAAAATGCTATCAGTATCATATCAAAACCCCACAGATAGGTATAAACAAGGTCTATCATACCTTCCGCAAGATCCACACCATGCACAAACCTCCTATCGACAATAGCCGGCATGGCCACCGTCGGGAATACTCCCTCCACGAAGAACTCCCTCCAGTCCCTCTGTGCCGCGATACCGCCCTTGAACATGAGGTCGATGGCTCCCCAGATGTTCGCCTCGTTGCCGTTGGGGTATTTATCATACAGCCACTGGAACTGCGTCGCCAGCTCATGCGCTCTTGTAACGCCATGGTTTCCCGCGCCAAAGACATCGCCGGAGACAGGTACAAGACCTGTGTAGTTATCCTTCAGCATGGTATACGCCAAGTTCACAAAGCGGTGCATCGCCGCCACAATCCTCTCCGTCTCTGACGGCTCTGCCTCCGCATATTGCTACCCACTATTAGCCACCATTGACCCCCCGAAACTTAGATCAAGGCAACTCACAATCATCCCATACAGAAGCAACGCCCTGGCCCACAATCCCCTCTCACTCTTCGCCGTCTCAGGCCCCAACCAGCCGTCTGCTTGCTGTGCGTCAAGGACGCTATCCAGGAACTCCTTCGCCTGCGCCTTAAGCCGCGCATCGTCCAACGACCATGCCAGCGGGACAATGTAGTTGAACCAGTATGGCGCAGTCTCGTGCAGGCCGCTATACTCCCAGGTCCCACCGCTCCAGGTCGAGTTCATGGCGTAGCGGTAGAAGTCCCATTCATGTCCGGCAAGGCCCTCAGCGGAGAGACGCAGCTGGTCTTTGAGCCACCCAAGAGGCTTGATGGAGCCGAGGGGGAGGGAGTCATATTTGAATGGTGCCACTAGACGGGGAGTGTTAGCTAAGGAGCATGGGAGTAGGAATGGGTATGGGTATGGGTATGGGTATGGGTATGGGGTAGATACGTTGTTCGGCGCCATATGCAGCCCCAAGGAGTGCCAAAGAGGCGGCCTGAAGCGTGAGAGTTGAGAACTTCATGTTTGAAAGTCTGGAATCTGGGTAGCTAGATTCACAACTGCCTTGGAGAGCTAAAACATTAGACCGAGGGGGAAATACCAATGATATAAATACCCCAATCCCGCACAATTCTCGGTACCATTTCCGACGACACCTACCCCGCGAGATATACCGAAGCCGGTGATCACAACTGCCTACCCCGCATAAATAAAGTTCATATACTCTATGCCCCTAGGTTGCTATTTAGACGAGATATTGCGCATGGGGAGATCGCAGGCTTTTCCGGGGACGCCTACAGTACCTGCTGTTGTAGTAGTGATATGGTGCGTACGGGATTATCACTCGGTCGAAGAACAGGCTAAAGTGGCCAAATCCTTGGAATTTGGATTTTGGGGTGATTATCAGGGCTCGGCTCATTACAACCCCGGGGTTGCACTGGAAGATGCGCATCATGATGATCTGAGTATCTGCCTGCAGGGGTGAAATACACTCTATTTATTAGAGTTGTTTGCATCTGGGAGTTTGGCCGGGTCGGTGTTGTGGGTCCTAATAAGTGTCATTACTTGAGGTGCTCGAAAGGGGTCATCCATGAACTTATATAGAGGACTTAGGAAGTAAACTGAGCCTTTAAAGTAATAGAAAGCTTCAACTCACGGCTGGACTCCGCCCTAGCTACTCCAGTCGGCCACTCAAACACCAGCTTGGCGCCAAGCACAACTGATGTCGAGTGATATCCTGTGCGGGAAAAGAGGTGGACCTGTGAATGACAGTCCGCATCGTATAGTCGTTGTGTTAGAGGACAGGCCGGTCTTGAACCAGTTAATATGGAATCCAGTCTCCGAGCTTTGGGGAGTCGAAATTATACGGATGCATCTGACCATTTTGAAACACAAATAGACACAAAATCGTTTCGCAAGATACGACTGGCTGTAAATAAGCAATAGTAAACTCACACGCTCACACCGCAGAAAAAGATTAAACGGCCTATTTTCGACGGTTCCTTACCTACCCGCATGGTAAACGGGCCGGGACCGACTCTTCCTTCATTCAGAAAGCGGATACGGGCCGGTGCAGGTTCTCCTCCGAGGCCGGGTGCCATCTTAAAAGCAAACTTCCCGCCACCTACAGCTATTGATTTGGACACAGAATTCAGCCATCAAGATCCATGAGTAGGTTTATTTTGTCGCTAAACCCCGTGCATATATGTACCTTTCGCTGGATGATCCCGGCGCTCGTAAGGGAGCTCCCTATTAGTTTGGCCACACGGGTGCCCTCTGAGCTAAAAGGAGCCCAAGTGAACAAGACTAGATGCCGCTACATAGAAGTGAGTTCGAAACTTGTTTGATGGAGAGTCGAACTTCAAGGGAAAAGCTATCGTGTTATCATAAGACAAGTATCCCTATCACTATTATTAATACTAGATACGTGTCCATCTTCAAATAGAGAACCAGACCAGATTTTTTCCAACACAAGCCAGCCCTATAGACCGCGACCCATATACATACCTAGTCCTTTGGTATTCAATCTTTCTAAATCAAACCCTATATGGGGTCCCTTCAATGGCGAACTTGCTTCCTTTCATAGGTGTCGAAATTACCTCCGAATAGGTCTCTAACTCTCACAGCTTCACGAGCACTCATGTTCGCCGTCCAGGGAGGTCTGCTACAACGCCACCGCAACCGCCCAGAATTAGGCTGATCATCCCCTGCCCCCCACAGCGACCCACTTCAAGGATCTCCACCCATGGCATCTGCATGCACTCCACACCCGCCCTGATCAGCCTAACCAACGGTTTTTGCCAAGTTCTTGCAGAGTTAAGAATTCCCGGTTGGTTAATTCATGATAATTACAAGATGCACGCACCATACACGTCACACATCGCGGATGTCTCTTTCACCGATATATATGGCAAGTATACATTTTGGAGTCGGTTAAACTCGACCCCTGCCCTGATCCATGACCTGATCTACGGTGTCGCCCTGGTTAAGGTTAAGGGCGGCTCTGAACTTGGGGTCTATACTCAGAACATCGCATTAGCTGGACGATTCTGCATCTCGGTCAAAGCCTCGACAATTCCCGGGTTCAGTGCTTGACTGTTGCGGGGTAGCCTGTAGGAGCGGCGATCGAGCGGGTTGGTTACAATTGATATTAGACACGATGTCTGTCTAACTCTCTAGTTACCACATATAAGAAGTAGCCCCAGCACAAGAGTTGATACCTAGTACACAGGCTACCACCGCCCAGTGTACCCCAAAGCCAAGTTAACAACCATGTACACCCCCTACCTCCTCCTCCTCTCCGCCAGTGCAGTGCTCGCCGCCCCCTCCAGCTCCGCTTCCCGCTCAACAATCAAGCTCCCCCTCCCCTCTCACCCACCTTCAAATCTCTCCCCAGTTCTCGACCGCGCTCTCGGTAGTCTGTCCATCGAACTAAGCTGTGAGAAACCCCGTCACAAGCCATCACTCGGTGTTTGCTAACACACAATTTATGGAAACTAGACTTCACCGACTTTGCCGGAAACCTGAGCAATCCCAACACGCTGTTTGCGCGTGCAATCAATAACCTCTACCAGCGTACGGGAAAGCACCCGGATATTAGGCCCGGCGGGATCACCGCGGATAGTGCGTGGTTTGCCGAGGATGCACCCGCAATTGTGCGGGATCTGAGTGTGGTGAGTCTGTATATCAGGCACGGCCAGCTGCAAATGACTGATGGAGTGTGTACAGAGTGGTGGGATTTATAGGACTACTTTGGGACCGGCTTGGGTATGATTTTCTGTTTTCAATGATAGATATATGGGGGCTAACAGCTGTGTAGTATGAGTCGTTCACAACGCTCCCAAGTGATATCCATTATGTTGTGAACCTCAATTTCCAGAACAATTCTCTGGCCCTCACAACCGAGCAGATGCGCTCTGCACTGCAGTATATCCCGCACGACCAGATCGATGCCTTCGAGCTAGGTGAGCATGAGTCCAAAACGCCCACCTCTCCGCATAGCTAACAAATCTAGGAAACGAGGGCGACCACTATCCCAGCACCTTCGACCAACAGTCTGGCAACGGGCGGTGGTCCATGGAAACCTACACCATCAAATACCTCGTTCGTCCTCTCCCTTCCCTCCCCTCTCTCCACCACTGCTAACCACCAAATGCATATAGAACTGGACGTCCTCTCTCGCCGAATCCCTCAACATTACCACCCCCATCTTCTCCGCCGGCACCTTTGCCGATGATCCCCCCTCGGGCGCCTTCAACATCACCGGCATTCTCGCGCATGGCGCAGATAGTAACGGCTTAACTGTAGCGTACTCGCAGCACATGTACCAGTACAGCACCTGCGATCCACCCCGAAACCAAAAAGCCACACTCGAGAACCTCGTCAACCATGCTAACATTACCTCCTACGTCGACCTCTGGGTCCCGCAGATACAGGCCGCGGATGCTGCCGGCGGCGAGTTCTTCGTCGGCGAGTATAATTCCGTCAGCTGCAGTGGGAAGCTTAATGTCACAGATACGTTCGGGCAGGCGCTGTGGGTTGTGGATACAACGCTGTGGGCTGCGTAGGTTCACCCTAAATTTTTGATCTTTGTGTAGCTGCTGATGTAGCGGTCATGAGGAATAGCTACCGCGGTGCAAAACGAATGTATCTCCACAACGGCGCAACCCTCGTTCTACAGAGCGCAGTGCAGGCAAATACCCCCGGTTACAGTAAATATAACCTAATCATGCCTCACGACAGCCCCGAGACTGGGCCCGCACGGTTATCACCATCATACGTGGGGTATCTCATGATCGGGGAGGCCGTTGGAGCCAACGGGGAGTCACGGCTGGCGCCGATCGAGACAGAGGTCGAGAGTCTGGGCGTGTATGGTGTGTGGGAGAAGGGGGCGCTACAGCGGATTGTGGCACTGAATATGGACCCGTGGAATGGGACTTCGACGTATTGGGACTGGAATAGTACTGCTGCAGCGGTGCCGGCGGCAACGGGGGTGGAGACGGTCAGGCCAGGCGTGGTATTGGACTTGGGGAGGACGGGGAGAAGGGCGGTGGTCAAACGTCAGTGATTGATCTATTGGTTTTTCAAGTGTGGGTAATGGAGATGCTGACTCGAATTTGTTGATGTAGGAATGACTGCGCCAGGCTTGAACGAGAAGAACCCGCACTTAGTGACGTGGGCAGGACAAGAGTATTATGCTGGAGCACCGGTGGGCAAGTATGAAGAGGAGGTAGTACGAGATGGAAAGGTGTTTGTGGGGGCGAGTGAGGCCGTGTTGATATTCGTGGGTGGGGAGCCAGGGAGGTATAATTGAGTAAGTATGACGCTATGCTGGAGTGAAGATTCAATTTTTCTATAATTGCAGAGATAGGGCATCTACATGTGTATATGACATATTAACGTTTGATGATGAAACCCTTACTAAAAATCCCATCAAGTTACCTTAGAAATCAGTCCAGAGTGATATCAATTAATTGCGGTAGAGCTAGAGCACTGTACCTGCATAAACAATTATGCATCATCACCACATCCCTTCAGTCTAGTTTAGAAACATATCAACTGCCCATGGCCGCATCTCTGAAAGCTTATGTCTACTACGATAAACACTAAACACCGCCTGTAGATATCCCCACCCAGGGTTAGGTTTCCACAACTCTCCACCAACATGTCTCACCCCCGAAATCTAAAACAACACAAGGCCAGCCCGCACCAGATCAGACTCAGATCCCCATCCAGATATAGATCCCAGACACCCCACTCTATTCTAGAGTAGTCTAGACAAGACAAAAAAGCCCGCCGCCCCACCGCCCAATGTCTAACACTCACACACAGCAAACCCTAACCCTCCAAGGCAAATCCCGCGCCATGGTCGAGACTCTCAGCTATCATGATCAGCTACCCCGCACACAGAAACAATCGGTTGCGACATCGGCGACCGCTTAAGCGACCGCGAGTGATAGGCTGTGAACCACTCACTCGGTTCTGTAGGGGGGGAAAAAAAATGATATCTGATCTTTGCTTTCCTTATCGCTAGTATTTATGAACGAGTGATCAGAGTGATCCTTGTCTTTTTCTCCGCCAGCACGTCAGCACGTCAAAAGAAGAAAAAAGGAAAGAGCAACAAATTGGCATTGCGACCGTCGACCGCTGGCCGCCCAGTAAGACGGAGCCCCTTGGCTCCAGTGGGCGAGGGAAACTTAAAATAACAGGAAAAAAAAAAGGAAAGATAACCTAACCCATCCCGCGGCCACGCCATACACACAGAACACACAGACACACAGACACCTTTCCCGCGAAGGTCCTTACTCGCTGCCACCGGGGATACGGTACCCGCTACCACACTCTCTCCCACACTCATACCCACGCCCACGGCAGAGCTATGCCTATCCCCCACACTAACAGCAACAACAGAAATAAGAACAGAGCCAATCGAGGCGCGCTTTGGGATCTACTTGCTACTTGGGAACCTTCCGATGACGACATACAGACAACAGACAACGATACAGACAAAGAAATTCTCCTTCATATCATGCTCACCTCACCCCTCTCCAATGCCGGGGTATCAGTAAAATTGAACCTCATGATTAGAACAGCGAACGATGCATGGCAATAGGCATAGAAGAAAAAACGAAGAAAGGCTTAAAAAGAAGCTGGTGCAAATGGGTGCTGAAGACAGTGTGAGTGACGTTGCAAAAAGGTGTGTGCGAGCATGTAAAGCATATGTGAAATAATAATCAATAAAAATTAGATTTCTCCACCACTGCATACCACACGCAAACGCACCCACATAGACAGACAGCCATGAAGCGAGCTGAGAGTCATGAACCAAGTAGAATAGAAATAAGCCTTTCTAAATATTTTCTCCTCTCACCTTGTGCACATGCAGGCGCCAGGTTACCAGTCTCCCCCGCGGGCTCACCCCCCCCTGCCCCCCTTTCCCCCTTGGTTACCACGGCCTGAACGAGCCCGTCGTCGTCGCCGTTGTCGTCACCGTCGTTGTGGTCGTCGTTGGGGTGTTGGGCGTGTTGGTTCCCGTCGACGGTGGCATTGGCAGCGGCGGCGGCGGCGGGGGTGGGGGCACTTCACGTAGACATAGCACAGCATACATTTAGCACTCTCCGTCCATCCAATCATCCAATCAGACACCCCGCACGCAAAAAAAGACGAAACCAAAAAAACAAACAAGCAAAACAAACAAAAAACCCCCAAAAAACAAAAATTCCAAGATCACCACAACAAAACAGCAAAAACGAAAAAAAAAAAATAAGGATCACCGCGCCAAAAACTAACCTTTATTCTCCGGACTATTATTCCCCGTGCTCTGCTCGCCTATCTCTACCGCCTGCATCATCATCTGGTCCTCATCCAGCGCCTGCGTGTCTTTCTTCGACGCCGACGACGAGCTCGACACCGACGGCGTCGTCGTCTTCTTCGTGTTTCGGGTCTTGTGGCGGCGGCTCAGGGCCCAGTCGGCGAACCAGTCCGAGTCGCACTTTTCGAAGAGACGCGGCAGTTCCGCGAGCAGGTCGGCTTTGGCCTTGTCGATTAGGTCCTTGTCGATCTTGCGGTAGCCCATGTCGTGCTGGGCAATGTTGTGGCGTTGGTAGACCTTTTGGACGACTGCGGCGGGCCGAGCAAGAGAGAAATGTTAGTGATCATCCTTTTTTTGAATAGTAATTGTGGTAATATGTGGTTCGATCTGTGGTAGCATGTGTGGTAGTAGTGGTAGTTGTGGTAGTAGTGGTAATGGCAGTAACAGTGAAAAGCAAAGTAAGTAAGTAAGGCAGGGAGGTAAGGCAGGGGGGAAAGATTAAGAAGCTGGGTATCTATGATCGATGTTTCTCTCGGATAAGGGCAGATCAACAAATACCACCACTACCTCCTAGCTTCTCCCCACAACCTGGGTTATAAACGTTTACAAAAGAAAATCTCCACGATATCTCTCCCACCCTTCCACCCCCCACCCCCCCAATGTCAAATTGAAAAACTGTTTGTAATAATTAAAAAAAAACCAGAAAATCATCACCTACCTGTGATTATCTGACGACGCTCGCCCCACGAGTACCCCAGCAGGCTGTAGACATCCTCGGGCGTCGCATTCAATTTCTCTCGCGGCTCTTTGATTTTGGCACTCGGGGAGGTTGCTTGATCCATGGATGCGGTTGACAGGGACGAAAACAGACAGCCCCGCTCAGGCCAAGCTGACCGGGGGGGGGGATTTAAAGTGGCGTGCTTGGCGGGGGGAGGGAAAGGATTGGACAGGCCATTTGGGAGGCAGGAGAGGTCTGGTTACCCGGCCGGTGGGATTTTTTTTTGGGGGGGGAGAACCCTAACCCGGTGGGGGGGTTTGGGGTTGGGCTGGTTTGATATTGGGGGGTTGTTTGTTGTGGTAGGGGAGGGTTCTGGTTGGAGGGTTGTGCGTGGGTGTGGGTGGTAGTCGGATTAGTAGGAGGAGTATTACTACTACTACTGCTAGTACCACTACTAGTACTACCAGTACTACTGCTGTATTACTCTTCTACTAGTAGCTAGTAAGTCAGCTGTTTGTAGCCGTTCTACTAATTTCTTACCCCCACGGGTGTAGTAATTAGTAAGTAGCCCTAGCAGTGGGTTGCGACCCAAAACTAATCCCTAGCTTAGTAGCCACCAGATAAGCAGCAAGCTGCCAGGAACAGACACTTGAAACGGCAATAGTTGGTTCACTAGCACACGTTACGGGATGTACGGGTTGTCACGCAGGTGTGATGTTTGCGATTTCTACGATTAGTATTCTACTACCCGACCTGTCAGAACACAAAGAGTGGTGGTTACTATGTGAATCCGTCTAAATCGATTACCCATTATCGTATAATTACGACATACATGATACAGGGAACAGAAAAAAGATAAACGACCGCACATGGATCACAGGCTCTGAGATCGAGCCCCATGGTTGTTGTTCCCGGGAAATATGCACTTTAGCCTCAAGAGTAAGGATCATGTCTCTTTCTTAAGCTTGTATTCCTTCCGGATTCCAGCCTACGGTTACTGCTTTAACTACATAAGACACCCACGCCCCTGGCCATGGCTCTTCGTGCTATATTGTACCGGTCTGTACTTTGGCTTTGTACGACATACTCTAATCTACCCCATTCTTTGCCCAACTCTAAAGTATCTACGTAGCCAGAACACCCATGTATATCCCCACAACTGAATATAACCTCCCCAGTACTACTACCACTAACCCCACAGAACCTCATTCCGGGAACTACATCCCCAGATTCCACTTCCCCATACTCTTAGCTACCCCGCGCCCAGCCCAGTATATTAACCCCATCTCTTGGCCACCGTTTTTTTTCCTCACTTTTGCACAGCTTGCTCACCTTGGCAGACGTCCACCACTTCCACCTCCACAGCATACGGCATAGTAGTAGCACTGGCAGCGCAGCCAAGATTTCCCCCTTCCCTTGTGCTAGGCACAATTGTGTGGACAACATGACGGCAGCCAGCCAGCCAGCTCTCAGATACCAGCTATTACACAATTTACCTATTCTACCTACACCTCCTCGCCCATGTACCATTTACCCACGCGGCGAGAATGGGAGCTTGTTCCCTCCCCCCTCCCCTCGCCCCCACAGTGCACTACAGTGTACATGTTAGTCCTCGTTACTCCAGCCTCGAATCCCCGGAATAGACGACAGCACTCGTACTCGGGACATTAGCTACCAGATCGCAACTCACCACCACCCCCTCCGCAATCTCCTTCGGTAGCAATTGCCCCCTCAATCCCACTATAAATATGGTCCTCACCACTCCTACTTCCTCTCTCACCACCTCCTCACCAGTTCTCTCCGTAACCTCCTAATCTCCTAATTAATACATCTAAAATGCACACAACACTCCTCCTCCTCCTCGCGGCCAGCAGCGCCCTCGCCCGGCCATCCTCCTCCTCTCTGCACCGCCGCCAGTCACAGGGCGACGGCGCACAAGGCGCCACGGATGCCACGCAGGGCGACCTCGGCGGCCGCCCGCCCCCAACATTTGCGTATCCGGTGATTGACTTTCCCAACCCGAGCCGCGAGGACACGGTCGTGTTTGAGAGTGCGTATTATGTGCAGCCGGGGGAGATCTTTGATGGCGGGATGAAGAGGTATGAGAGGGCCGAGGGGAGCTGTAATGAGCAGGCCGAGGTATGTCCTATTTTTGTTTCTTTTTGAAATTTCTGGTGGTATATTGGGACAGTAAGACTGACTGGAGGTTAATTGGTAGGGGACGGATGCGGATACAGTGTTTAATCTGCTCCCGGGAGCGACGCTGAGGAATGTGGTTATTGGGAAGCACCAGGCGGAGGGCGTACATGCGCTCGGTGATGCGTGGGTTGAGAACGTGTGGTGGGAGGATGTCTGCGAAGACGCCCTCACAAGCAAGGGCCTCAACACACAGCTCCGAGTCATCGGCGGTGGTGCCCGTAATGCCACTGACAAGGTTCGTCTCTAGCTTCTCCCAAGCTTCAATTCATGAGCCTATTTACCAACAGCTCCCAATCTTGACACATCAATACTAACCCTCCCCCAGATCTTCCAAGACAATTCCCTCGGCGGCAAGTTCAACATCACCGGCTTCTACGCCGACACCTTCGGCACCTTCTACCAGTCCTGCGGCAACTGCCTCAACCAGGCCAAGCGCAACGCCACCGTGCAGAACGTGATCGCCGTCAACGGCAACCGCATGGCCATCATCAACCCGAACTTTGGCGACGAGTTCCGCATCAAGGACTCGCAGCTCAAGAACGTGAAGACTATCTGCGACAAGGAGATTGGCAATAATGTGCAGACGGTGCCGTACTGGATCGGTACGGGCACGGATTTGAAGTATTGTTTGTATAATGAGACGACGGATAGACTGGTGGAGTTTAATGGTACGGCGAATACGGTTTATTGGCCCGAGAATGAGGCGTAGGAGGTGGGAGTGAGAGAGAGGTGGAATTAATTGGGTTTTGGGTTGTGTGTGATGAGATATGTAGATAGTCAATGATTGATATGATGTCTGAGCTTCAATTGTGCCTGTGAAAATCGTTGTTAGTATGAGCGACATCATGTGAAAATGGTTGTTGGTATGAGTGACATCTTGTGCAAAAGTGTTTGTTGGTGTGAGTGATATCTTGTGCAAAAGTGCAAAACGGTTGTATTGTGCCGTAAAGCTGTGAATTTCGAATTTCCTCTCAGCGCCTTCAGTAAGAGTCAATTGCACGAGCAGAAACCCAAACTGAGGCATATGTCGCGGTCATTCATGCCAAAAGTCTTCAGGGACAGACCGCGCAAAGAGAAAGCGGCCCCAGGGACTAAATCAGAGCACTCCAGTCAACCTCCCCAGCCGTCCGATCTACACCGACCGACACCTTCTAAGCACTCATCCCAAAGCATTCATCTTATTCCCATGAACAGAAAGAAAAAAACCACTCAAGATCTTCACATCACCATCTCGACTCTAGCTAGCCTCTCTCTCTCTCTCTCTCTCTCTCGGGCAAATTAATTAATCCGCGTTGCAACACCCCCCCCCCCCCCAACACTAGTACATCATTCTCGTTCACAGCTCGCAGAACAAACCCTCCCAGGATGTCCCATAGTTTTTCCGCTGCATCCATGCATCTCGGTAACCACGCGGACAGGCAAAATCCCCCGCCCGCCGAACCCCGACATCTAGCTCGGCCCAACGTCGGCACAGCAACGCACCCTCGGACCAATATCCCCCGAGTGGCTGGATGTCTCCGGCGTAATACAATCCACCTTGCAACTTGCAATTACTGAATCAATCTTTTTTTTTTCTTCTTCTTTTTCCAGAAGGCTTTGTTGACGGATAAAATAACTTAGGGTACCTAAGTGAGTAATGGGATATATACCCTCAATACGTATATACCCCCAATACCCCGAATTCCCGCCTCCTTCGGCGTTTTGTGCAGCGCAGCAACGGCGTGCCCGTCACCGAGGGCGAAACAAGCATTAACGCCCAACCCCCCCGCGGGGGGCAGCAGCGGGCTTTAAGTAGGTAAAACGTGTGTCTGTAGGTACCTACAGTATTTGCCGGTGTTCTCTGCGGGGTGGGATGTAGGGTGTGGGGAGCTTGTAGAAGCATTCTATCAGGCTAAATTCCTGGGTTGAATAGTTAGGAGCTGGTCATGAGGATGAATAACCGGGCTAATTTGATATGCAGACAGAGAGGGAGAGAGGGAAGGTAAGCATTACTGCAGCTGCATGAAGGTTTTCCCGCCGCGATGAGGGGAGAAGAGGTGGGGAGCGGAGTGGGGGGAGAGTTAACATCGTGAGATATAAGAACCTCCCCTCATATCTCTTACTCCACCAACTCGAAATATCAGCACATCCTCATCTCATCTCACCAGCCCAGCTCATCTCAGCTAAAAAAAAGAAAAATAGAACCAGCTACCAGCAATATCCCACCACCTCACATCTCCAAAATGGCACCTCTCAGACCCGGTATCTACGCCCCCACAATGACCTTCTTCGATCCCGTCACCGAGGACGTCGACTACCCTACCATCAAGAAGCACGCCGTCCGCCTTGCGAAGGCCGGCCTCGCCGGCCTAATCCCCATGGGTTCCAACGGCGAAGCTGTGCACCTCAACCGCGAGGAGAAGCGCCTAATCACCCGCGCTACCCGTGACGCCCTCGATGAAGCCGGCTTCCCTGAAGTCGCCGTCATGGTCGGGTGCAGTGAGCAGTCCGTCCGCGGCACCATCGAGCTGTGCAAGGAGGCCGCCGAGTCCGGCGGTGACTCGGTACTGCTCATCCCGGCCAGCTACTACCGCTACGCCATGACCGAGGAAGCAATCTACCAATACTTTACGCGGGTGGCCGACGGCTCCCCGATCCCGATTGTGCTGTATAACTACCCGGGTGCGGTTGCGGGGATCGACATGGACAGCGACCTGTTGCTGCGGCTGTCGGAGCACCCGAACATCGTCGGGACGAAGTTTACGTGCGGCAACACGGGGAAGCTTGCGCGTGTGGCGTTGGCAAAGAAGGCGGCGACGGCGACGGATGCGGGGAGCGGGTACATGGCGTTTGCGGGGATGGCGGACTTTTTGCTGCAGGGGCTATTGGTGGGCGGGAGTGGCGTGATTGCGGGTGGCGCCAATGTGGCGCCGAAGGCGTGTGTGAAGGTGTTTAACTTGTTTGCAGAGGGCAAGATTGAGGAGGCGACGAAGGCACAGATCGCGTTGTCGAAGGGCGATTGGTTCCTGACAAAGACGGCCATCCCAGGGACGAAGAGCGCGATTCAGAGCTACTATGGATATGGAGGGTACCCCAGACAGCCGCTGCAGAGGTTGTCGCCCGAGGCGGAGAAGACGTTGGCGGATAACATCAAGGAGTTGATGGCGTGGGAGAACAGTTTGTAGATTGTACTTGTCGTTTTTCCTTTTGTTTATTTCTTTTCTTTTTCGGTTTCTTCTTGGTGTTTCTTTTTTGGGAGCATGGTGGGTGTAACGGTCCGCTGAGTGCAAAAAAAAAGCATGAGTGTGAGAGAGGAATTGTAAATAGTTTCAAATGTCATACATGATGCATCTTACAATGGGCTGCTCTCTATTCGTCACTGGCCATGGTAAGGAATCAAATCAGGGTTGTGGTGGGAGAGGTCTTTGGTGACCGGTACCATTAACGTTGATATTTATTGAAAGGAGGGCGAGTCTTAGAGTTTTTCAATTGATATCGATGTCTAACGCTGATACAAGCTATCTTATAGGAACCTGGGTAGGGCACCATTCCTCTTGACAGCGGCTCTTTTACTGTTCGACACCTTGACCTCAGTGCCGGCGCCTTGGACGACACATGTCCAGCAGTGTTGATCTCCACAGACGAGTGAGAATGTATGATGCAATTACGGGAATGATGTGCGCACGTGCACCAATATATCTAGCCAGCTCAACATGAAAACTGACTTTAATTCTAAGCAAGATTTATTGTCGTTTATCTTTTTATAATGAATTAACACCTATCCCTTTGCTATTACTATATAACTACATATCACTACCTACTCCCCAATACAATTAATGAATTAAACAAAAAAAAAATACCTACTCCCCGCAACCCAGAACCTCCACCAATGTATGTCGCTCTAGATCTCCCTCCCTCCATCTCTCCACCAACTACCCAAAACTCGCCTGCACCTCCTCCCTCTCGATCATCTGTAACTCCCTCAACTCCAGCTCCGCATCCTCAATCAACCGCTCGATCTCCTCCAACCTCTCCTCCACCTCCTTCTTCTCCAGCATGAGCTCCTCCCAGCGCTCCCGCTCAATCACAATCTTCCCTGCCTGAGCCTTGCACCCGGGCTTGTGGAGTAGATATTTGTCGAACGGCTTGTGCGAGGTCTCGATGTGCTTTTTCAGTGCGCGGAGGCCGCTGATCTCACTGTGGAGGGAGTCGATTTGAGACTCGAGGATGCAGGGCATTCTTGAGGTAAACGTGTGTGTTTTTTGTATTGTTGAATCGATGTTAGATGGAGGGTAACTGGGGACTAATGAGATGGTATAAAGGCTTAGGCGCTAACCCTGGCATTCGAGATGGCCATGTCTGGGTGCTGTATGCCGCACGTGCACGGCACATCTAGTTCCTGGATAAGGTTTCGTGGTCACGGGTGGGGAGTGCATGTTGTACCAAACCGTTCCGTGGTTCGGACATGAATTTAAACGTTTTGACGGATGGGTGATTGTTGAGACCCGTTTCTGAGTGTAGTAGTGGAGTCGGCGCTTTTGATCACACCTGGTCACACGGTTTGGTTTCTGTGGAATGGTGGAGCGGTCCAAGACGGCTGGTTATCCACATGCTGCCAGTTCAATATGGCACAGTAGCTCTTTTCTGTGGGGGCCAAGCGCCACAGCTATAGGAAGTTCGTATATTCTGTGGTACTTGATTACTATATGTGTACTATCAAGGGATCTTTGGACACAAGTCACGCCTTTTGGCCCCCACTGGACCTCTTGAAGGTCCAGAATATGTAGCCAGGTGCTACACACACGTTCAACCCATGACTCTTTCGCCTCGCCCAGCCGGTTGAGTACGCCTCACTCAACTTTGACATGTGAATCCATGGATCCACCCATTGCATCCACCATGGTGGGTACATAGTTGTTTGGTAACGACTTGTACCGGTCGATCATACTAGGTATCATCTGCTGCTTGACCTAGAGTAGAAGGTGCGCCTGATTAAGTATCAGGAAGGCCCCGATATCACAACCTTATTCGTCGACCCCATGATACTCTTGAACACCCTCGATAAAGCTCCAGTCCAAGTACCCATATGTATATCCAGATCGATACGACCGGATACCGCGCTTGTTGTCGTGTTTGGAGGTAGATAAAGTCGATCGATGGCCTAACTGAACGGCGGAATATACATCCACCCAGCCAGAGAGCTTGACCCCTCACCTCCAAAAGTTGTTGTATCATGCAAAGGACCTGTCGATATATCCCCCAAGCGCTCTTTCCGAGCGTCCTTACTAAGTGAGTGAGTGGGATATTCAGATAATTATAACTAAGTATCCGTGCTTCTTCGATCCTCAAGAGTCGCCCCCAAATACGAGATCAAGACGTACATAAGTAAGGCTGTCGAGGTCGTTTCAGCTCTACTGCTTGACACGTCGCTCAGATCAGGCTGTTACACAGCTTATACAGGAGGTACATCAGTGTGAGGGTGCTGTACATGTGTAAATGTTTACGTCGTCATTTGATTTGGAGCCAGTACTGGTTTGGTTATATGTGGCCGGTTAGATAGCTGGGTTATGTAAGTACATATTAGTTAGGCATCCAAGATTGCCCGCTTAATTAATGAAGTGGCCATTTCAATCATAAGTATGACACACCGGATTTCAGGACTGCCCCCACAAGGCTGTGAAGTTTGCGCTTTGCGCTCACTTTTGATTTGGGATGTTCTATGTGTTGTTCTGTGTCTGTTGTGTTGCACGTTGGTAAACAAAGAAAGAAATGAAATGAATACTACATGTAGTACTGACGTGAACTGAACAAATTCAGGGGGGGTTTAGTTACAAAGCGAAAAAGGACCACGACAGAAAGTAGTAAAAGAATTTCAGCTGCTAGAAATTTACATGCGAAAGCTTTTAACCGAGATAGCCGCTGAGCCTTGTCGCTTTTCCTCAGCCTCTTTCCGAGGGATCCGCTGGAGCTAATTAAGCTTGGGGCTTGAAACCAGCCATTTTGTTTCTACCATCCAACACCGCAGCATATCTTTACAGGTTTCGTATGGGGCGGTAAATGTGTCAAAATTAATTTAAACCAACGGTAGTAAATTATTTTACCACCGGTGGTGAAAATAATACCAGTATTTATACCCTATAATGCTAATTTTTATGATAAAAGCACAGACCTTTTGGCCAAAAGGGGCCATATAATGCCCATATATATGAAAATTGTCCACCGGTGGGGAATCTCACCATCGGTGGCGGTATTTCACCACCGGTGGGAAATTTTCATAAGTTTTGGCATTAATGATTGAACATTTACTTATTTAGTATAGCGCAGCATAAAGACCGAAACTCAGTGTTTATACCGGTGGAAATGTAATAATGTAGGATAGCGTGCAGATACAATGACTGAAATTCAGTGCTTATACCACCGGTGGTAAATAATTTACTACCGTTGGTAAAATTACTTTTGACACATTTACCGCTCCATAGTTTCGAGCTGTTAGAGTCGAGAGGCTCGAGGCAAGTTTAAAAGATGTCTCGTCTCATTGAGAATAGTTTCAGAAATAATTAGAAACAGAAAGATTGTTACATAAATCATAAAACGTCGACACCAGGTCAATTAATTTATAAAAAGGTAATATACAAAATTATGGGGATTACAGTTTGAAGCTTAAGGAGATAAACAAAAGAAAAATATTAATGGTGGAGGTTCACCAGGACTGTGTTCAAGATCTATGAGCGTTATTAAAAATCGTTATCAAAACGTGCAGCGCAGCTGTAATATTCCCGGACCATTCTATTCGTCTGGGTCCGGTGTTGGAAAAATTCCTTGAGTCAATCTCGTAACGAGCTGAGGGAGGTTAGTTAGGATAGCATAAACCCGCGTAGTTGAGACGGCTACATACCCAGTTCTCTAGTTGAAGGTTATTTCCTTTCAAACTCTCAATTTTCATATCAAGCAGTTCTGTAAAAACGTTAGACAGGAATACAGTTAGCTCATAGGATCGAGACTGACCTGAGGTGCAATAGACATTCCGAGATCGGTGAAGGCCATGAATAAACCTTGTCGCTTGGATATCATTCCCGACTTGATTGACTTGAAATACGACAACTGGAATACCGTAGTGTTAAGAAGAGGAATCTAGTGAATTTATATGGAGAATAGATTGCTTACGCGAAGGGTCATATCCACGCTCCCTTAGTTCTCTTCTACATTTCGCAATCATGTTTTTGAAGACATCAGACTCCTCTCCCAGAGGCTATTCAGACAGTTAGCTGTCAGAACTAAAGCAGTATTTGAATCTAGATCTTACCGCGCCGTCTGTTATTATTGAAACTAGTAATGGTCGTATGAGACTATTTGAGTCGATCTTGTCAAATACCAATGGCTTCAATATTTTATCCCACAGACTAGTTCCGATTTTAGTGCGTACACCATTGAACATTATCTTTGACATGATCGCTTCGACGTCCTCCAGTGTTCTAATGTTGTTGAATTCGCCGTCGTTGATACATCTCACTTTGATTCCTTCTGTCTCAAACAATCCGGTAATCTTGGCAATACGTCTAACCATCTCTTGCAACGCAGGTGTTCGTCTGTCTTGCTGCATCGAGCAGCTATCGTCTAAAATAATTATAATCGCATTAGCGGAATTCCTCTATGACTTGAACTACCACGGCTTGTAACTTACCACAGAGTAAAACGACGTCGTAAAGAGCCACCCTTGCCATTCCGGCGATATTATCAGGTATACAAGTTTTCTCGTCATCAGACGTTATAGTAGCCTTCCTCCTCACAAGTTCGGCCGCTCTATCAGACACCTTCTGCACGTAGGGGTCGTTTTCTGAGTAAAATGCATCAAGTTTCATGGCTTGAACAAAGCTTGATATGTCTTGTTGGAATTCCTCCGGGGATCGTGGGCCATTGGCCAGTTTCGGGCGACGGGTTGATGAAGTCGAAGGATTGGTATCTGTACATGCGGCTACGAGATGTCAGCAACGTTTTGGGGGCGTTTCGTCGTACATGACACATAGGCAATGCTTTAATTCAAGCCAAAAAGAAAACCATCATCTTACCTGCTGGGTCTGCTACGGCAGTTTCAGTAACAGAAGGATCGTTGAACGACATCCCAAGTAGTGGGTTAAAAGGTTCCTCTTGGGCAGAAGCCTGCGCCCCGGTGGTGCGATGTTGACGCCGCGCGGGAGTATTCACTTTAGCTACGGGTGCCTGTGACATTCTCGCTACTGGATCAAAAGCTCCCGCTGGGGTGCTCCGAGTGGTAGGCTGGTGACGCCTTCGTTCAGGCGGTGAACTACGTATAGCAGCACTAGCTGTGATAGCCACAGTTGTCGAATTCTCTGTTTTTGGACTTTCTGTTCTTCGACTCTCTGTTATTGGACTCTCTGTTCTTCGATTCTCTGTTTTTGGACTTCCTGTGCTTGGACTATCTGTTTGTAGACTCTCTATGCTTAGATCCTCCGTTCTTGGATTCTCTATACTGCCATCGTGCATAGCAACGCTGGGTGTGATAGTCACAGTTATTGGATCCTCTGTTCTTGGATCCTCTGTTCTTGGATCCTCTGTTCTTCCATCCGAGTTGGTGTATTTGCGTTCGAGCTTGCGTCGGGAGCGACGTAGTGAGGGCATAGGAGAAGGAGAAGTCTGAGACACATCAAGAAGTGTCTCTGATGAAGGGTTTTTCGTGGAAATGTCTTCTTCCTCTGATTCAACCAAGGTAGAGGATCCAGACGAAACAGATTCCGAGATTGCCTTCTTCGTTATGGCAGGATCTATCTCGATATCCCTTCTACCGCGTGACGACTTTGCCTTTGCTGAGTACAGAGTTTTCGATGAGCTTGTCCGCTCACTACTGGCAGTAGATGGATGTCTCTCTCGATGAGACTTTGAGGGGGATGACCTCTGGCTACTAGCCGTAGATGGGTTTCTTCCCCGCCGTGACTTTGAGCGAGAGGATCTCTCACTACTAGAGGTAGATGGGTTTCGTCCACGTTGGGATTTCGATGGAGATGATTTCTTGTCTCCATTAGGAGCTGTCTCGGGCCTCCGCTTTGGTGGAATATCAGCGTTGATTGAATGAGACTTGTGTTTCTTTTGGGCTTTCTCGGGGGTCCGCTGCGTACTAAGGCCATTGGTGGTCGTGGTCCTGGTCGTGATGGTACTTTGGGTAATGTGATGTTTTGAGGAACTCTTTGGCAAGCTTGATGCCTTTGAGCTTCCATCAGAGCTAACACTACTCACGGAGGAGAGATATTTGCTCTTCTTAGAACTGGTAGATTGTGCGTATAGATCATTCTTGGAATTGGGACGGGCTCTGTAATACGATTTCTCTGAAGGATCAACCTCTTCTACGGAGATACAGGGACTGCGACAGGGCCAGCACCAACACATTGTTTCGTTTCGATGAGAAAGCTGTTCTTGAGATGCAGTGCCCTTTCCTCCATGATGGGAGGGCTATTTTAAAGTACATATGGACTGGATATTTGTTGTACACGAGCAATTCTTTGTACATTGATATCGGGTTACAGGCATTTCGCGATGATTACTGATCACTTATCGAAGATGAGTGCACATACTTGATACCAGGCACGCCACTTCGTTCCATTGATGTGGAGAACGCGTTAACCCCGCTCGTGATAGTTGAGTTCGTGGTGTTGCACAATGTTACCGTATCGACTCTATGGATCAATAACGGTGATAGTGTAATAGGGTGCATACTGATATATGACATTGTGTTTTGGGTATCTCGTTTCATAGAATAGCTAGCCAATAAGACCCGATTGCAGGAAAATAGGACTACAAATTGACTCAAGGCCGATACTCCATTCACAGGGCATGCCAATAAGTACCATTCGATTTTGATGTGTGGAGTAGTAATATTGGAAGCCACCTGGCATAAGCAGCCCAATTTTAATTCCTCCTAGACTACATGTACTCACTAGGGGGTACATATATTAAATTGTGGAGGAGCCGCCACCAGGGCTCTGTAAATAAAAAATAAAAAATCACACATGAGTTGTTTATGGTAGGTGAGAACCTGTCTTGCTCGAAGAACAACAGTTTAGAAAAACGAATTTATTCACAGTTCGTGCGTGTACATGCTGTACATGTATACATACACTACATGTGCTATAACTAGTCCTTTGTCAAGTGATATTTCGCCTAGACGCGGCTCGGGGAATTATGAAAAACAGTCTAGAACCCCGTAGTATTCCGTTCGTGTTTCCTCGTGGAACTTACCGGGTGACTCAACTCTTAGCTCAGACAGGATAATATAATGTGTGTACACGTTCCTGTTTCCTTGGTTATTTGAGATATTCCAGTTTATAATAAGGCTTACAGCCTGGCCTCATGGAGGTTTTATCCGTTTTTCATGGGTATGTGAATCTCGCCCTATATATGATCGATCAGATCCAATTAGCTGGATTTAGATATACAAATCCGGCGACCAAAAAGATCGTGTGCACGGGCCGAGCCGAACGCCACAAAGAAGCCTATCGTTGGTCCGATTCCTTAGCCCTACCTGTCGGGAATCTTAGCGATCAGTTAATTATGTTTACATCCCCTGCGATCCGGTGGTGTACGTGCGCAACTGATCATTGGCCTATTCGTGAGATAGACCGGGGTTGATGCAGGGAAGTGAGGGTTAGGGTTTGGTGGTTGGCTCGGGAAACGACAACGTCTTTCATGAACAGCTATCTGTGCATGCATAAATTGTTTCGATCGATTCAGCTGGATTTAAATCCTGTTATTTCCAAACTTTTTGTAGAGTAGGGTGATGGGGGCCGAGTGAGGTATCATGATTCAATCGTTAGCTCATTCCATGTAAGCGTTTCGTTAGCCGAGCAGTTAATTCAGGAACGGAATGAGGATCTCCGGATTTCCTATGAAAATCAGAACGGAATCAAAGAACGAAACAGGTAAGTTTCATTGCGTTCACGAGGAGATCTCTCTCATCGTCGCTCCAAGATTAATTTGCCTGCAGCTTGTGTTCAAGTATTTAGATTTCCGAAAAGCTCTCACCCTCCCATGTAGTAGATCTAGATGACAAAAAACACCGCACCTTTAGGTAACCATTGCTATATTATTCAACGCACAAAATACAAATTCCTCCCTATGTATATAAGTGATTATGTATGTATATATCCAGATATTCCCTCTCTACGCCCCATAAGTCGGGAGAGTAGGCTTTCCTCCGACCAAGCGGTGGTGCTCAGCAAACGGCATAAACTTCTTTTCCTTTCCGCGAGACATTGCAGTCTTTGAAGCGTCCACAACCTGCTTGAAGTCGAATCTCTTCTCAGGAAGCAAATCATAGATTGCCTTCGCATATCCATTGTCGATGCAATAGCACTGCGAAAGGTAGTTCACCTGGATAATCTCATAATCAACCAATTTCAGAACTCCTGCTGTATTGGCGTGTAGATCAGCACGCTCCTTAGGGCTCATCACACGAGTGTAGAGCTCACGCGCCTGTTCGTACTCCTTCATGGTTCCCTCAGAGTAGTGGTGTCCCTGGCGAGAGACAACGGCATCCGCAACTTGGTACGGCGCTTCGGCGGTGTCAGGTCGGTAGCGCTTGTCAAAGCTGTTGGGAACGTAGTGTGGGTTGCCACCAGTATTGGCGTCGGCACGTAAGGGACCATCAAAATTGATGCTGGAGTAGGACTGGGACATGAATGGGCAGTTGACGGGGACCTGGTGAAGATTTACACCGAGGCGGTGATACTGCGCGTCACGGTAGAAGAATGTGCGGAATTGGAGCAGCATGTCAGGGCTGTCCTCGATTCCGGGGACCATGCTGCCAGGCGAGAAAGCAGCTTGCTCGACATCACGGTGGTAGTTCTCAGGGTTTTTGTTTAGAACAAGTCTACCAAAATCTTGCATCTACTCTCAAATATCAATACTGTTAAAAATGTGAGGAAATATCTAGGGTATACGAACTGGGAATTGGCCTCTGGGCCAAATTTTGGTCACGTCAAAGGGGTCAAACCCAAGTTTGACAGGATCGGCCTCCTCGGGCTTCATGATCTGGACTTTCGCGGTCCAAGTAATTTTCTCACCTCTCTCGATGGCTTGCCAGAGATCCCTCTTAGCGTAGTCGGGGTCCTCGCCTTATCTTTCTCAGTAACATCCAATGAGAACGGTGAAATTGAAGTTGAATACTCACCAGACATACGAATAGCCTCTGGCCAGGTAAACTGCTTCTGGCCATGGTCTGCAATGAAATGGTACTTAATATAGACAAAGTCTCCATTTTTATTAACCCTAATATCAGTATCGGATTAGCTAAACCTGATTGCGAAAAGAGCATAGAGATATATTGAGACGTACCATTTGAAAGTATGACATCCATAACCATGCTCGTATCTCCATCCCTTAGGGGTTCCATGATTGCTGAAGAACATCATGCCCGCGTGATTACTACAACCCATTTATTCTGTTAATCCTTATCTCCAATCAAGACATGTTTTGAGGACCGTATACCTCTCAGGGACATTTGCCAAGAAATCAAATAAACTGTTATAGTCCAGCAAAAAATTTGCCGGATTTCTCTGTTGAGAACGGATCACATCGGGTCCTTGAATTGGGTCACGGCAAAAAAAGATCGGCTATAAGATCGACCATGTCAGATTTTTTGAAGAAAGGATAGGATGTCTTATAGACAAGAGGAGAGGACATACCCAGTTAAGACCAACGATATCGTAGTTTCCCTCCTCGGTGTAATGCTTAATGGCAAAACCGCGAGGATTTCGACCAGAGTCGGGGAACTCTTTGCCAAAGGTGACGGTGGAGAAGCGAATGAAAATTGGAGTCTTCTTCCCGATTTCAGTGTAAAGACCTGCCTATGAGGTTTGTTAGCGTTCTTTCGAATTCCTGCAGCTGATTGGCGATTTGCCGGTTTGAAAGGGTTAGGGTTGATCAGGTTAGGTGTATATACCTTAGTGAGATGCGACATATCCTTAGTACACTCAAAGTATCCAAACGCCCCTGAACCAGCGGGGTGCACCATTCCTACACTCCTCCAGATCAATATCAATCACCTTAGAAGACAACGCTTTAATTTTATCTCAACCAGAGGGGAAACAATATTACTCACTCTCCAAAGTCTTGCTCCTGTTGAACGTCTGCTGCTTCTGCAACAAAAAGGTATCGCTCACCAACGGCAATCCGCCCACGTTCTTACTATGTGCGATATCAGGCCAAGGGATACCTTCATTGTTAGTGTGATAAGGGGCATCATCCTTTCTATTTCCACCTTCAGTAACGCCAGTGATCTTTGCTGCGGTCACGGCAGGACCATCATTGGCGCCCTGGAAGAGCGTAGTCCTTTGAGTGGGAAGCGGATCTGCGCCAGCTACGCCCATGGCCGAAGCCACAGCTTGGATCGGGTGCTGAAGTGGGTTGGAGGAACCTGTGTTAGACATTTGGAAGGTATGTCAAGACGTAATGAAAAGAGAGAAGAATGTTGCGGAAGATAGGAGTTCAAGAAATAAATAAAGATATTTGGTTCGAAGTCGTAAGGGCAAATGGCATGACGGAGTTACACTATGATACGAGAGGAGATACATATCGATCGAAGACAAAACTCCGCAGAGAAACAGAATCTCTTTACGCATTTGTGATGGTCACATACATCCACTCGCAGAAGAGAACGGAATTTTATTCCGCAATGAATAGGAGTGAGAATCTCCAGGATATCGACCTTCAGCGGCGCGCGAACAGACTTACACTGTTTATTGAACCAGTTTGCACGCCACCAAATAGTGAGATTCTAGGCTCTGTTCGCACGGACATCAATACCATGGTTTTTATCCCGAATAAGGCAACATGATTTTGATACCATGAAAACCAACAAATACCATGGTTTCAACAAATATCTCTGGGGGTATTTATTCCCCATGGTTTTCTTGTATCTTCATGCCTCTCAAGCAATATTTCAACTCCGTCCGAACATTCTTGTGTTTGGATAATACTCAGTTTTATCTAGATCTCAGTGCAGATACTATGCAACAGAATTTATCACAGATTGTCGAATACCACGCCCGTCCGAAGAGAGCTTAAACTAACAACAGTAACCTCTAATACTCGTATGGTTATGCGGAAGTGTTCGAAACTAGTTATGTTGACTAATACGGAAGGTGGATTCGATCGAACAAAGCTCCCCCTGGTTTCCCCGATGAGAAAGCTGGTACGTGGAGTTAAGTTTAAACACCCACTGTAATAGTGACATACATGCGCTAGGGTCGCCAAGTGATTACAACACTGGAGCTGTTGTAGCTACATACATGTCTAATATGTACTGTAAAAGCTCCATTTGCGAAACCTTTTGCGCTTACCCGGCTTGCTCCTCCCACCCACCAAAATCTGGAGGGGGCCGAAGGCCCCGTTGAAGCTCCCCACGTAATTGTAGAGGGAGGACTTGATGTTCAACTCGCGGTCGCGAGGTGGAACCCCTAGTATGTAGGTACATGTAGGCTAACCTGGTGTGTCTATTGATTTACTATTGATTATCTGATCTAAGATAAGATCAGAGATAGCGATAAGAGATAAGCGATGCCAGTTAATACGTGGCGCAGCGACCGAGTCATCCATCCACCGCGTAATCCAAGCTACGCACTATGTATGTTACCTAGCATCAGCCCTGAGAAGATGCTTGCCTGCGTGTCTGCCTAGAGAGCCGCGCTCACTACATATGTCCCCTCTAGCCCCGAGTACTAGATAGACATTTCGATATCTTCTACATACAGAATTCGGTGTAAGCCTGGGAATAATGTCTGATCTTCCACTTCATATTGCGCTCCACCTTGTCCCCTACCTAACACCTCGCGATATAGCACGTTGCCAAAAGGTCTGCAGATCCTGGCACGCGACCTTCACTTGCCCATCCCTTCTCTCTGCTGCGCTTCGTACGCACTTCCCTCGCGCCTACGAAGTCCGCACACGTGCCATCCAGAACCCGTCCTCATTTTCCACCATCTCTGCCCGCTACAACGCCCTTCAGTCGGGAATCCCACAACAAGAGTTACATTTCCCAATTAAGAAATCGAGAAGAGATGCGTATATATGGACATTCTCCTCCGATCTTCTGGTTTTCCAGTCTTCACATTATCCGAAAGCAACTTTGTCACTCGTTTATTTCGACCCCACTCCCGGTGGTAGGAAAGTAAAGTCCGGAAAAATTGAATTGGAAGATCCCGCAAGGCCAGTAGTGAGGTTAAAGGTGTGCAGTGATGTGTTGGTTGTTGAACGTTCCGAGGAAGTGATAGAGATGGGTAGATCCCGTTTCTTTACTAGCACGGAGTGTTACCGTTTGAACTATTGCGAAGACGGCGATGAGGTGAAGGCAGCGATGATGTGCACTATCGACACATTCGAATTTTTATATATCGACTATTCCTACCAGGTACTCAGCGATCTATCTCGCTACTACTATGCGGCGTACTCAAGGTCGTACTCAAGGTCGTCGTTAGGCGGGGAGAGGCAATTATGTGTGTGGAATGTAGCGACTGGGGATGTGGTTAAAACTGTGCCGAGCGGATCTCTAGAGGGGATGGGTCTAACGGTAGAGCTTCTTCTCATTGGTGATAAGGTTGTGGTGGTAGGTGATGATAAGAGGAATAATAATTTCAGGAGATGGCGTCACTATCAAGGAGATTGGGGCTATATTTCACACTTCCGGGTCTTTGATATTGTAAACGATTCACCGAAAGACCCAGTTGGCGGATTCGTGGGGAGAAAGAAGGCAGAGTGTCCTAAGGAATCGAAAATCTCAACCACCCCGTTTAAAGTCTCCCGGCGCGCAGAAGAGGAAGAGGAAGAAGTAGCAATCATCCTGTGGGAACTCGAAGACAAGACCAACAACGCTACCGCACACCATTATACCCTTGCTACCTCTACCTCTTCTCCCTCTTCTCCGGATCTCATCAATTCACCACTCGCACCCACCTACCAATACCGTTTGGATCAAAGCAATGATCCATTGAGCTGTTTAGATACCCCCACTGATTCTAAAAAGACCTCTCCATTTGTTGTAAAATCAAAGGAAGCACTAAGTTTCGACATGGATTTTACTGGCCAAAACGAGGAGTTCCTGGATACACGGCTAATGCTGTACCATCTCCGAATCCAAAGCTTCTATCCATCCGCTGATGTCCCGGGTGTAATGGAGCTGGACTGGGAGACAAAATTGAAGGACAGAGACGATGAGAAAAGGGCGAGAAAGATATATTCCACAGATAGGAATGTGAGTTATCGGAATATTCATGTGCAGATGGATGTAGCGGGCGATGAGCGGATGAGTGCATTCTTGGAACTGACGGTCACTGGGATGGAGCTAGTGATGGTGGTGTGGGATCAACCATTCAAGATCGGGGCTTGAATGTTGGAATTGACAATATAGCTTTTGACTGGAGTAAATATTTACCCAGAAGATAATCCCAAGGAGATATTATTTCGTTGAAAATTAATTATGTTGTTCCTGAGGTACTGTACGTTGTATTAGCGATTCTGAAAATTCCGATTCAACTTTGCTTGCAGCCGAGGCCTCTATCTAGTGTATTTTTTGGCGCTATTAGGGTTCAATTTTATCCCTTTGAGGGTAGAGAACTTTGAATAATGAATCTCGAAATCTCTCCCCCGGGAAAGGCTATTTATGCGGAGTATGATATGACCTGTCAACGTCTTCCTAGCCTTCGTCCCTCTGCAAACATGACGCGAACCCCCGGAGATTAGAGAGGTAGGGAATCCTGCAAGTCTTCTTATGAGTAGGTGCTCACGATAAGCATTCGCTATTTAGCTTGCCCGGAACAAATTTCTATGAAATTTTAGTGGATCTATTGAATAGAGCTGAATTTTAAAATCGAAAGTAGCTCTTTGGAAATACTACAATACCGGTCTGGTCCTGTTGTTTTGCCAGTTACCCGTATCAATAATTGATCACGGGACATCACTCGTGCCTATGTATTCAGCACGGGGAGGCAGGACGCATGCAGGTACCCCGCTGAGCTTATCAGAACCACTGATGTCAGGTCCTTATTCTATTGTCTGATTCACTCATCCTGGAATGTGCGTTGCTATTATAGAACCAATTAAATCACTATTTGGTCGTTTCCGTTGCTGATGTTGAATGTTAGTATATATACTCACGTCTTTGAACACATGTGATATAGATTGGCACTAACGTTATTGCACCAATAAGGTTCCAAGCTCCTCACGAGCAAGTGCTATAGTTCTTCAGAATAAAGACTTGCTTACTACTATGAATATTGAAAGTGGAAACATACTGCAGGTCCCTAAACTGAACATTGGCCATGGAATTTGGCAATTTTAAATAAGAAAACCTCCAACACTAGAAAAAGAAACATAGAACGCTGTCAGATACTCTTACGGCATTTGATGTCCGACTGTCTGCGCGTGGGACCTAGTAGGCGACGCTTATAACAACCTTTCCTGTACCCTGTGGGATATCGACAGGAACCTTGACCACGCTTGCCTTGAAAGAAATATCGTTTCTGTTTTCCGCCACTGTGCTACCAGAAACCACCACCTCCGGGTATTTCTCAGTTACATCGGTATACTCATCGTGCCAGATAACAACCGTGTAGTAATCCCCGATATCCTTTTGGACTCTGTCGAGGTGATATCCATCCCAGGGAGTAGTGATTGTAATGGTACGATTCAAGTCTGCGACGTTCCGCTCCTTCACACATAGATTAGTGTTGACCAGTCTGTAAGATTCCCATACAGTAAGCGGAGTGACTTGTCCTTACTTGTTCGATCTTCACCTCCCTAAACTCATTCTTTGCCTTCTTATCCATATCCGAATCAGCCCAACGCCCTTCAGTGTCGCCCTCCCCTTTATATCCCTTCTTTGTCGGTGCACTCTGGCGGCTGACTCCATCATCCAAGAACATTCTGTAAGTCTTCACAACATTGCTTTATTAGTACTTAATTAGAATTTTCATCTGAAAACCTTTCTGATAACCTACATTCTTTTTTCCCCCTGGGTATAGGTGTAAGGTAACCGGGTTAACCTTGGATTTGTCGTCAGCAGATTGACGGACTTCAATCTGTGGAATGATCCCGCCTGTTTCAAAGGCAGATAAAGTCAGTTAACTATATCATGCAGCTTCGATGCAAGCTTGGTCTTACCTCCTCTCACAAACATCGGTGCAATATACGGAAAATACGATTCATCGCCTGAAATCGTTGCATCAACATCGAACTTAGTGCCGCCTGTGATTTTCGGCCCGAGTGGTACACCAAGTGACCCGTCAATACGAAGGTTCAGTCTGTACCAGTGATGCTGTTGAGGAAGATATATTGAACGATGTCCCCCCTTCTCATCTTGCTTATGCATGATAGGAGCGACAAGAAGGTCCCGACCGACCACATATTCATTGCTAAGTGCCCAGTCATTCTTAATAGGTTGCATCAGTACCTAGCTTTTAAATCCAAGGATACTGATAGAGTTAAATTAAGACTTACATCGGTGAACAGAGATGTATCTTCGCTGTCGGTGATCAGAAGAGCTCGAGCGATGGGCAATCCGTGGAACTGGTGCTCAAACATCGCGTCGTACATGAGCTGCAGCAAGCTGTATCGGAGCTTGACATAATAACGGCAGACAGGTTCCACGGCTAACCATATGCTTTTATCTTGCTCTGGAACACCCGACGGGTTGGAATTGTAATGGTCTGTGAAGGCGTAGGGTTCTTGGAACAACTTCATCCCTCTCTTTCCATGATAATGATTACTAGAACTATGTTAGTATCCAAAGCTTCGAAAAATAGATATATTCATTCTATAGAAGGTTTCTGCGATAAAACTTACCGGAACCAAGGAAGCAACGAATACGCGCAGTACCAACGAATGACCAGCTCCGGTTCTGCATATCTGAGCCCTTCATTCGCAAAACCTGAGGCGGGCATGAATCCTCCAACATCTGCACCAACAACTTCATTACCAGATATACCCAAAGATAAAACCTACAAGTCATTAATGAGTTTGAAACATACTTAAGGGGTCACTATGAGTTACTACGAACCTGATTTACAGAAATTTGAAAATGATCCCAGGTTGATGCATTGTCTCCAGTCCACAAGCCAGCCCATTTGTGTGCCCCAGCATAGCTCCCCCGGCCGATGATAAAATTGCGTTTATTCTCGCGGCCTTTCAAAACGTTGAGTCCCTCATACGTAGCCTTGTGTAAGTTGTAACTGTAAAGCGCCCAGATCTCAAGGGCTGGTTTCATAGGTTCACAGGCTTCACCGGACCACTGATCGGAATCAACCATGAGGCGAAAGGGAAGTCTTTTATTAAGAAGATTAGCAACATGAAAATATAATCCGAGTGGTGATATTACCCTTTCATGTCGCCATATTCTTTTGCAATAGCAGGGGTAGTCATATCCTGCCAAATAAACTCAAGCCCCTGGTCAAATAGATATTGGTATTGCTCCCCCCACCATTCTCTAGTCTTAGCATTATTAAGGTTTGGATAATACCCCGGCTAGAAATATTTCGTTAGTTCATCTATCCCTAGATCAACCTATAAATTTAGATAATTATATTTATAAGATGTAATTACCGCGCCAAGTGTGCCTCCATAACCCACTCCCCCACGATATGGTTTTCCACTGTTGTACCATTCCACAAAGTCGCTATCACAAAACACTTAGCGTTTAGTGCAAGATAAATCTTTTTGGCATAACTTACTAGTCAGCCCCGGGAAACTGCCCCATCTCATTGACTGGATCGATATTGAGCTTGATTCCGTTCTCGTAGCACACATATTCAACCTCATGCGGAGGAATGACACCGTTTCCGTCATCATATCGCTTATCTAAGATGAAATGCCTATTTTTATCAGCAAACAGTAATTAAAATGATTGGTGGGATGTATCACCCTTTCTCAAGTCCTTCATTGAGCGTTTTATAGGTCTCTGTTGGCGTGAGGTTGATTACAGGAGTGATGTTTGTGCTGCATTTAACTCCCATGCTCCGCAGCTCATTGAACATTTCCTTAGGTCTCGGGAATTTTCTATCTGCATCAATAGTAAATGTACGTAGGCCATCCTGAATAAAGATCACAGTGAGTCAGTAATTAGCTCGTAAGGTCTCTCTGAGGTTGATAGAAGCGTACCTGTAGATCAACATCGATGTGGATCCCATCCAATGGGATATCTCTGTCTTTGTAGGCATGCGCAACTTTTAGAACCTTCTTCCGAGTATCATAGCCGTAACCTGGTATGAAAAGGCACATTAGAGTCTGGTAAGTTGAAGAGGTAATTATCACACTCACATCCTTGATGATGGCCAAGCACATATCTAGGCTTGAGACGAGCGCGTCCCATGACCGAGCTGTAGAGACTATTTGGAGTGAAGAGATGTAATTAGTACGGTTAATTTATTAAAAATACATTTAGAATCCAGAATTCTAGAATGAAATGTGTATACGTAATATGTCTGGGATCATAAAGAACCTACCTGATGATATCAGCAACGCTATCGCCTGCGAAAACGAAATATTGCAAAGGTCCAAATCTCGTTCCAACATTGATTTGTGAAGGGTTATTTAGGCTGAAATCAACACAAATCTGAGAATAATTGTCTACAAAAGTCGCAACCTGACTCTTGTAATTCGGGAGCCCATTGACCTCCAACCAAAATGGCTCGGAGTGGTACAACGGTTCGCGCTCATCAAGTGGCCCTTGATTGTAGACACTGCTATAAGTCATATTGTCGAAGTCTGTTGATTGACTATTAGTTCTTAATTTCTAGCTACAGTTTCATACAATCGACTCCATATATTGAGAATATTTAACTTACTAAAGTAGTTCATGAGTGTGCTCTTCTTTAAGAATTCCTTTCCTCCTTGCTCTCCCCAGCCTTGGATACGGTTAGCGCTTCAAAACTTAAAATAGCATATATCTATAAATTTAAACACTGATGGTTTTACAATAAAAGCTCACCGAGGTAGCGTGCAGAGCCGGGTTTCTTGGCTGTCAAAAGAGTGGCGTTGGCAGTCCCGGTTTTCTTCCAAGACAAGCCGGCTCCAGTAGTCTCCCAAACTACTTTTCTTTTGAATACAGCTTTACTAGTAGCTCCTTGAAGAACAGGAGGATCTCCTAGGCCCGATTCCTCGATAGAACGCACAGCCTAGCGGATTTAGTCAACGGAATTAAAGATAACCACGTCACTAAACCTTCAAGGTTCCTGCCTAATTTTACTAACCTCAATTTTAAATTCATTCTTATAAATATTGAGCTCAGTTATAGTTCTCCCATTAATCTTTGCCTTCAGGTCTTTCTTGGTGGGATATTGAACGGTCTGTTCAAATACTTGTTAACATTGCACTAGGATACACCCCGATCAAAGACTTATTTTTTCCTTTCATATTTGGAGTTTGCAGATAATACCTTAAAAATGTAGAAGGAGTCTAGGTCGGATCCTGCATCGAATTCGGTACGCCAGATGATATTTTCAGCACAGTCGAGGATTTTGATGAGATTTGACAATGTATCCGAGATTATGGTACGACTAGAAGATTTCCGTTACTTAGTTGAATTACAACAGTAAAAAGAACCAATTCCCGAGTGGTTAGGTAGGAGTAGGAGTAGACCAAGGGTTTACATACGAATTGTAGTCGTCGTATTGTTCTGGAGCGAGATTGTCCGGATCAAACCTGATTCTCCAGACCTTTGGACGAGCGAATTGCAATAATAACAATGGCTGCTCTTCCTGGCCATCTACTTGTAAGCGAAGGAGAACCCCAGTTTTGATGACTGGGTTCCCAGCAAGATTATCCTCCGGGTTGTAAATGATTTTTGTTGGAAACTTGAATTCCTCTCGCTTCACAGATTGGAAAAACTCTTCGGGAAGAAGGAAGTTGTGACTATCCTGGAGCTCAGTCATGATGATTTCTTTCTTTTGTTGAGATGTTTTGGTTCTGGATTGAATAGTTTCTTATGTATTCGAAAGCTTCGGTGACTTGAAATTTCTGCAGAAAAAGTGGATATCTAAGATATTTATCTCTCCTCTTTGTCACTGAAATATGCTGGAGGAACCAGAAAATCACAGGATCAAAACAGATGAAGTTTCCTCACCGAGCACAATAAACTTCCCATGATGGTTTCCATATCAAACCCGACAATTGAAGTTTCTTGGCTGATTCACGCCAGCGAGTCGATATTGAAGCAAATATTCACATATAACGACTTTCAAGAACCTAAAATCTGGGATCATGAGATTCTCTAACTTGACTCAAGAAAATAATCAGTGGGGGCTATGCACAGAACTCTATTATATTTAGTCTCAAATCTCACGAAATCTTTACTGTCATCATTAGATGCATCGAGTGAATTTCATTTGGCGCTCGATCATGGAATATCACTCCGAAAGCCCACGCGAGCGTAGCTGATATATTCTAGTCTATGGGTAATTGCGTTACCGAATGTTCAGACCCGCTCAGATAGTGAATGATGGCCGATTCGTAATATCTCCTTACGCTTATGCGATCGTTTCGCTCTCTTATGCTATCTGCAAATCGCAAATAAGGTAACGGCTCTACTAGGCAAGCATACACATTAGCTTTTCAGAACGAAATTTGGTCTACATGCACTAGTTGCTACCTTAGTTGTTGCGGTTCTTAATTTTGTAGAACCTGGCCGTAAAATAGAAAATTTGGCGTTCATCATGAAACCAACGAAAGGGACGGCATAATGTTCGAACTCGTTTTTGTGAACCGTCTTGGCAGGCCTTGGCAAATTAACTTCGTCCACAGTACAAGTACCTCCAAGATGGGGCATCACCCGACCTAAGCTGGTCTCCAGTCATTTTTGAGCAAAGACAAGCCCACCCGCCCCCACCATAATGCAGGCGCCGAGTGAGATATCGTGATGTCAATATCGAGAGGAATCGCTATAGGCTAACCTGTTAATACCAAACATAGGTCTGATGTATGGGGGGTGAGAGGGCATGTGAACTTTCATATTTTGGTGAGAAAACGTCCGGGTAAACAACTTGCTGCGTTTGCCAGTCTTTATATTACGCTGGTATGCCATATATTTCGCAGCACGCTGCCTTAAGTTCAGTCAATCACTTCCTTTATGGAACACGCTAATGCATGAGAGAGATTTTCCAATGTCTCATTCGTCCAAGGGATAATGCTGTCCCATGAACGTAGTAGTACAGACAGACTCTTCCCAAGCCATCAAGATATTTTGCTTTTGCGGAGCACGCAAAATTGCGTTTCCAGATGTTGCATTCTGGCGGGGTATTGAGACAAAGGATGACGTGACATTCCACAAAATGCCTTAAAACCTGGGGTATGTAACACCAAGAATTAAATAAGCTTGTAAATGCCGGTGATAAGCGCGGTGGTGGTGCTGGACCATTTCGTGGACCTGATTCCACGCCGGCCGTAAATGTGGTACGTAAGATCACGCTTAGATGCATACTTCTCCGTATTTCCAAGACAGAAGCGAGCGTCGATGCTCTTTCACGGCAAATATAAAGGATTCCGAGGGAGAGATAATTTTGAAATCGGCAATTGTAAGGACAAAAAGCTCAATGTTAATATTGTCGATTCAGTTTATCAGCTGGACACGAAAGTACCTACATCTACGTGTATAGGAAGAGTTGTAGCTTACGTCACATTACGCCAGGGCATCTGCAACTACGTACATGTACATGTAGGTAGATACATGTACCCACTGCATCGGGAAATTAGGATAGCCTACTCTACTGGTGCAAGCAGCTTGTTGCTAAGTACTCGTAACTTCCTGACGTTTTTGAACGCGACTGATATTGCATACCATACAAAAATACGCCAAGACCCTGATTTTGGGTGTGTGCAATAGTGGCCCAGTCCAAAAACGCCAGGAAACTACGAGTACTCGCAATTTCACAGCGTTTCCGGACGCAACTGCTATTGCATACACAGAAAAAACCCGCCAAGGCTATCTTTTGTATGGCATGCAATAGTGGTCGCGTCCGGAAACGTCAAAAAACTACGAGTAGGGGATGGATGGGTACGAGGCTACAGTACATGTAGTACCAGTTTTATCTCATTTGGAAACAATGGTACGTACCGCAGTATTTGAGAAAATTCGTTGCGCTGCAGCAGGGGTATTCTCTACCAAAACTTGCATATTGACGTCCAAATACTGCCTCTGGTTGGCTTATACCCCTGCTGAGGTGTAACGAATATTCTCAAATACAGCGGTATTAGAACGCGCCGCGCGATACATGTACATGTAGTTATGTAAACATTATATTGTACAATTGTGAGATCAAGAAATACATGTAATCTTCGTTGGATACAGTAGTAGGGCAGAACAGCTTGGAAGAAGTGTTTCCTGAGCTGCAACATCGACATATATACATATACGTATATACTACATATACATGTATCTAAATCCCAGCACAGTTAGGTATATAGCTGTCCCTAATTATCAATCACGATTTATGAAGTGACGAACCTCGCGGGGATTTCAAAGAATTCTATTTAGGAATTCTTATCCCCTGGACGAATGAGACATTTGACCTGGAATCTCTCTCATGCATAAATATCATGTGACTTCTGCATTTTGGTCCGGGTAAGCAGTTCGCCGCGTTATATATGACAGTCTTTATATTACGCTGGTATGCCATAAACTGTAAATATACATATCAGGGGGTTTGGAGCCCTCAAACATCCTCCTTCGGTAAATTTGAGTCTACTACGTCAGGTACAGTACGAAAAAAGAGGATGTAATAGGTACTGTACCAATACGGAATTGTGCAAAACTTCCGAATTAAATCGGAATCCTAACTATTATACCGTAGCAATACCGTAACAATACCGTAACCCTACGGTATTTTGCCAGATATGGTACTGGATCCACCCGCTTTTTTGGTACTGTAGTGGGGATTTGATCTTATTTAGCGGAAAGCATATGCCATCCGTGGCCGCCCCCTTCATGTATGTATGGACAGACGAAAAGGCTCGTATTTGCATGTGTAAATGTCATTGTTGTGGGGTAAAGGTGGGCAAACGCGGCAGTTACAACATATGCACAAACCCTAACCCTGACAGCGCCCTACAGCTACACAAGAAGATCACCACTGCATTCCCTTTTCGTTATTCTTGGCATAATCATGCATGTAAATTCCCTTATCTAGTCCTTTATTTCTTACTCAACTATTTATTTACATGTAGGCACTTGCTATTGACACGCCTTTTTAAGTTAGATAACTTCGAGTATCTACACGTGCATGTCTTGTTTCGCTTGATTAGTCTACATAGATACGACATAGAGTCCATACAAAGTCACTCGAGACATGACATTTGTCATCCTACATGTTCCTATTGGAAAACCGTCTGGTGTTAAGACTACGTTTAACTTCTAATTAATTAAAAATTGATTCCAGACCTCTTGTGTCCAGGAACTTTTTGATTCATTGGTTGTGTGGATCGGCGAAATAAGAATCTGGCTGCGTTGGGCGGTTTTATCCATACCCACCACCACACGCCTCACCCTTCCTCAAACTTTCTTCACCTCTCCATCTCCCTCCACCACCATCCATCCAGATCTGCAAGTCCCCATCAAGCTCTTCATCATCAATCATCAAACCTAGTTGGCCATCCTATAAATCTCTCGAACTTCACTTTCTTTGTGTGATACACACCCTTTATCCAAACCCAATCGAAATCAGAATGCCGACCAAAGTCTTCCTGTAAGTGTCTTTCCTCGATATCTTCAAGAATCCAACACTGACAGTAGCCGTATAATTAAGTACCGGAGTTACCGGTTACATCGGTGGAACAGTGTTCAATTCACTCATAGAGAAACATCCAGAGTTCGAGTACGCTGTGCTTGTGCGTTCACCTGAGGCAGCCAAGAAGGTCACTGCTCAATACCCCACTACAAGAACCGTCATTGGTGACTTGGATTGGTAAAACTCCGCTTTTTTTTGAAAGTTTCGATTTTGAATCTAATTCTTCTTAGTCTCGACATCCTCACTGAAGAAACTGCAAAAGCGGATATCGTCATCAGTACGCCTAACTTTCCTTGCTTTGTCTCAGGCTTTCCTCCGTGCGTTAGCACTTAACATTCTTCTACTTTATAGACGCTGCCAATAATGATCATGTTGCTTCTGCTCGTGCAATCACTGCCGCACTTTCCGACTCTGCCTATCTGATTCACACCTCGGGCACCTCTATCATTCTTGACTGGAAAGAGCACGGCTTCGGTACCCATCTTGGAACCAAAGTTTACAGCGACGTAACTGGCGTCTCTGAAGTTACTTCTCTCCCCGATGACGCTTGGCACAGAGATGTCGATAAAGTTGTTCTCGAATCCGGCAAAAAGATTGCAATCATTTGCCCGTGCTGTATTTATGGTCTCGGAACTGGGCCAGGAAAGAAGGTCAGCTGGCAGATACCCCAGCTTGCTAGATGGACTATCGAGCGCGGAAAAGCATTCAAGGTCAATGACGGAAAAACCTATTGGAACCATATCCACGTCCTTGATCTCGCGGATATGTACGTCTTGCTCGTTGAGGAGGCTTTGAAGCCGAATGGAGGAAGAGTTACCTGGGGACCCGAGAACTATTACTTTGCGGAGAGTGGTGAACATGTACGTCAATCGCTCTTATTTTCTTTTCTTTTCCTTTGAAATAATTATTAATATTCCGGTGAATGCAGATCTGGGGAGAGGTTTCCCAGGCGATTGCCAATATCTGCAAGGAGAAGGGGTTGATCCAGGATAACACTGTCGAGTCATTGACTCCAGAAGACGTCAAGAAATTTGCCCCTACTGGTCATTTGGAATGGGGTAGCAACTCCCGATGCAAGGCTGAGAGGGCCAAGCAGTTGGGTTGGGAACCTAAACAAAAGGGGCTTTTTGACTGTCTGCCACAAGAAGTAGATA